GTACATGCATCCTTGGAATTGTTAGGGGCCGTCTTCATACTAGGGTCGGTGAAGTTTTCACCGAGGTTGGTTTTGAACTCGGAACATGTGTGTTTTGGAATTGTTGGCAGCCGAGTTCATTCTAGGGTCGTGGGAGTTTTGTTAACAACGAAGCAGGTTGCAAAGCTGGTACATGCATGTTTAGGAATTGTTGGTAGCCGAGTTCATACTAGTGTCGGTGAAGGTTGGTTTTGAACTCGGACCATGCATGTTTTGGAATCGGTAGGTGTAGAGTCCATACTAGGGTCGGTGAAGTTTTCACCGAGGCAGGTTACAGAGTTGGGACATGCATGTTAAGGAATTGTTGGTAGCCGAGTTCATACTAGGGTCGGGGGAGTTTTGTTAACACCGAGGCAGGTTGCAAAGTTGGTACATGCATGTTTAGGAATTGTTGGTAGCCGAGTTCATACTAGTGTCGGTGAAGGTTGGTTTTGAACTCGGAACATGCATGTTTTGGAATCGGTAGGTGTAGAGTCCATACTAGGGTCGGTGAAGTTTTCATCGAGGCAGGTTACAAAGTTGGGACATGCATGTTTAGGAATTGTTGGCAGTCGAGTTCATACTAGGGTCGGGGAGTTTTGTTAACACTGAGGCAGGTTGCAAAGTTGGTACATGCATGTTTGGGAATTGTTGGTAGCCGAGTTCATACTAGTGTCGGTGACGGTTGGTTTTGAACTCGGAACATGCATGTTTTGGAATCGGTAGGTGTAGAGTCCATACTAGGGTCGGTGAAGTTTTCATCGAGGCAGGTTACAAAGTTGGGACATACATGTTTAGGAATTGTTGGCAGTCGAGTTCATACTAGGGTCGGGGAGTTTTGTTAACACTGAGGCAGGTTGCAAAGTTGGTACATGCATGTTTGGGAATTGTTGGTAGCCGAGTTCATACTAGTGTCGGCGAAGGTTGGTTTTGAACTCGGAACATGTATGTTTAGGAATTGTTGGTAGTCGAGTTCATAGTAGTTTCGGTGAAGGTTGGTTTTGAACTCGGAACATGCGTGTTTTGGAATCGGTAGGTGTAGAGTCCATACTAGGATGGTTTCAAAGTTAGTACATGCATGTTTTGGAAGTGTTAGGGGCCGAGTCTATACTACGGTGGGATGGTTTTTGTTTTCACCGAGGCCGGTTTCAAAGTTGTTACAGGCATGTTTTGGAATCGATTGGTGTAGAGTTTAAACTAGCGTCGGGGGAGTTTGGGTTTCACCGAGGCGTGTTTCAAAGTTGGTACAGGGATGTTTTTGAAGTGACGAGGGAAGAGTTTAAACTAGCGTCGGGGGAGTTTGGGTTTCACCGAGACGTGTTTCAAATCCATGTTTCGGAGTTGGTTGGGTTAGAGTTTACACTAGAGTGGGACGGTCTTTGTTTTCAACAAGCCCTGTTTCAAAGTTGGTGCATGGGTGTTTGGTACAGGACTGTTTTGGAATCGGTGAGGCAAAGTTAAACTAGGGTCAGGGGAGTTTTCAACGAGGCTGGTTTCGAAATTGGGCCATGGATGTTTCAGAGTTGAATGGGAACGTTGTCACTTGTGACAGTAAACGAAGGGGGATAAATATTTGTCTGTTACTTTGTCTGTCCAAGTAATAGTGTGGGTAGAGGTACGGTCTGTTTATCTAGCGGGTGTTTAGGGACGGGGGCGAGGGCGGCGGACAAAGTTGTCGATGTAGGTAGGGTGCAAGAGATATGTAAGATTGTCATACAGCCTTTGTCTCTTAAATGGAATAGAATGGGTAGTGGTACGGTTAGTATTGAGGTTAGGGATGGGAGAAGGGGAAAGGGGTTGCGGACAAAGGGAAGGGGAAGGGTTAATAGTGATAAAAATAACTCACCCAGCCCCTTAATCAATAAAAATTATTGATTTGTACTTTAGAGTGATTAGATTGTATGATATGTATGCTAACGTCATATCATATTTAGTTTTTACGTCATTATATTGGTGAACTTTAAATGTAGACATTTTAAACGGTGTGTCATTTGACACGACGTACTATAACGTTGTTGTTTTTTAAAACTTGAAGTTTATAATCTTAAGCAAATTTTTACTAAGGTGATCAAAAATTAAGATGACAATGTAAGATATAGAAAAAGAAAATACATTGAGTGGTAAAAATAAAAAATTGTAATTAGACGTAATGTCTTATGTATAAGTAAACTTTCTTAAAAATTAAAGAAGTTCAAGTCAAAAAGAAGTTTGATGAAAACTGTAATACTAAAGCGAACATGAGAAGGTAATCTGCTTGAGGTTAAACATCGCCATGTTTTCAAATATCGCGATGCAAGTCACGTTCTCTCCCCTCTTACTTAGTAATCGCCTCCTCTACCCATTGTTTACAAAACTCTTACAAAGAAAAAAATATCCCACCCCTCTACTTGAGACATAAACTACAAAAGTGTATTGTGTCTTGTCGTCACATGAAACAAAAATGGTGGCGTCTAATGTTGTTAACCCTTGTCTTCCTAAATTATTTTTAACTTGTTAAAGAAATTGACTGTTTTGTTAAGGATTCTGACGCGCAATTTTTTTCACAAGGGACGATACTCGTGGCTGTAAACAAGTCTGTTCTAATTTTAGAACAGTTGTCTTTCCTCTCGTTTCTCTAGTAGGGAAGACATGTGGGGAAGACACGCGACACGTCTTTTAAAATGTAAACAAACGTGCACAAGGTGCACTTAAAATAAACCCCGCTGCGAAAATGGCAACGGCCTGGTGACACTTTTTGGAAAACACGCTTTCATGTAAATAAAATAAGGGTCGCTTTTGTTGTCGCCATGATAATGTATACCTATAAGTTCTCTCCGCCTTTACCGACCTAGTATGAATTTCGCGCGCGCGTGTGTGTGTGTGTGTGTGTGTGTGTACGTGTATCTCAAAAAAGTGTATCATGTCAACACCTGGACAACCAGTCATAGTCAACAAGGCCTACTTCATTACAGATCTATAGGAAATCCCTCTTTACCTGTACTTACATTAGGTAAAGGAAACTTGTTTGAATCAAAAAATGTATTTAAATATATAGAGTTATAGAACCTTAAAGTTAACAGATGATGAAAAAATAAAATAAAAAATTAAAATGAAAATCCGCCTCCTCACCCACCTCACTCAGGTGGTAGAGTCTTTTACTATATATCCTTTACTCCTACTCGTGTTCCCCCTTCACCCACCTTCTCCACCTTCACCCACCTTTCACCCTTCACCCACCTGTTCACACCGTCACCCGTCTGCTTACACCCCTCACCCATGTTACTATAAGCGAGTATGTATTGAACATTTGTTAATATTTCCCCCTTCACCCACCTGTTCACACCTTCACCCACCTGCTTACACCCCTCACCCATGTTACTATAAGCGACTATGTATTGAACATTTGTTAAATTTATCTGGCTCAGGGTGGTCAAATGGTGGTCAGATCAAAAGAAAATCGGAACGGTCATAAAAAACTTAATTACTTTTCCAGACTTGTAAAAAACATGTCTACCCCGCATACCTCACGTACCAACGCACCAAGTCGCCCTGTCGCCCGTTAAAAAACACGAACCTACGGAGACTTCGTTTCGTCTCAAAACCTGATTTAACGGTGGTTAAAAGAAAATTCCAACCCTTAAATATATATTTTGTTTTCGGTGACCCTCGCTATAAGCGAATAGTTACAACCAATGTCCTTACTCAGCGTAATTACAGCACCAGCTGTTACGTGATGGCTTCCCACTCTAGTAACCGAGCGGGGAAAAAATCAATTAAAGTGGTAACAGATGTTCCCACACTTAACGCGGAGAGGCACTTAATGTACGTCGTTAATCATCATGACCTGTCAACCGAGCGGGGAAAAATCACTGATGCATAACAAAATTTAATTAGGTGGGACATCATGCTGTGATGGCCCGTGGGTGGAATCAATATTAACGCGCCCGTTGTCCAGTGTTTGACAAAAACAAAGGATTGCGGATCGATATGTAACACATGTTGCACGGTTGGTTAAAGGGTGGTATACAAAGTATACGTTCGCGTTGTAGGGGAGAATTTTAAACATACATACAACCAAATAAACAAACCAACAAATTAAACAACAAAGAAAAGAAATATATCAAATAAATAAATAAACAAAAGTAATTAAAATCAAATTACGTAACTAGTTAATAATAATTTAACTAATTATAAAATAAAATTAAATTAAAAATAAACAAAATAAAAATAATTAAAAAGTAAACAAATAATCAAATTACGTAACTCGTTAATAAAAATTACACAATATAAACAAAGTAATTAAACAATTTAAATCAAACAAATTAAACAATTACGTAATAAAAACACATTAAAATTACGTAACTAGGTCAAAAATTAATTAAAATTTTAAAAACTCATTAAAACTCATTAAAAAACGCATTAAAATTACGTAACTAGGTCAATGATTACGTCACAAGGTCAATGATTACGTCACAAGGTCACCAAAAGGTGACCTACTTCCCCACCACCTGCGCCAACCCCAGTTGGCGTAGTATTTTACTATATGTCGTTGTACCTGCAGCGCATCCACCTCACCCTGCGATGCGCCAGTTGGCGTAGTATTTTGCTATATGTCATTGTACCTTCACCCTTCCCTGCTCCCGAGTATTTTGCTATATGTCATTGTACCTTCCCACCACCACCTGCGCCAAAAATACTAACCAAAAGTGACCTAATATACTACTCACATAATCCCTAACTATGACGTAGCTCACATAATCCCTAACTATGACGTAGCTCACATAATCTCTAACTATGACGTAGCTCACATAATCCCTAACTATGACGTAGCTCACATAATCCCTAACTATGACGTAGCTCACATAATCTCTAACTATGACGTAGCTCACATAATCCCTAACTATGACGTAGCTCACAGAATCCCTAACTATGACGTAGCTCACATAATCTCTAACTATGACGTAGCTCACATAATCTCTAACACCAGCACTGTATACTTTCAGGCTCCAAAACAATGACCTTCCGAGGGTATGAATGGGTGGCTTATCAGCGCTTCGAGGAGAAGAGGTTCACCAAGAACACTCGGATTTCACTGGAGTTCAAGGTACGTTGTTTTCATTCATCTCTTGTCCGTTTGGTTCTGGTGCTGTCTGAAAATTCGTGCGATTGTTCATCTCTATTTTGTCAAACAAAAATCAATGGAAACATTAAATTTTGCTGTTTTTTTTTTTTTTAAATTACATGTTTATAGCATTAACACTGTTGTGTTAGTACGTTCTTGAATTATATTTTAATTGCAATATTTAGTTTTGCACTATGGTTTCCTACTGGCTTGCCATCGTACACAAAAAATCACGTATGAAACAAATACTAATATGCTATTGAATTATTAAACTGTGTCTAATTTTTCTTTTCTTTCTTATCGTGTTGTTCTGAAATAAAACTAGAAAATATTTTTTAATGAATTTTTCCCTTGATAAAATGCCAGGATCGTATTCCGCTAATTGGTTTGTGTATTAAAACCTCCCGTCTCGTAAAATACTTTCAACGTTGGACCTACAATGGCGTTTCCTTCTGTGAAGTCCGCCCCCTCCCCCCACCACTATTACTAGCTTTACATAGCTTCACAAATAAAAATCGATTTCCCCCACTGAGAAGATAAAAATAAAACCGTTGAATAATGTATAAGACTCTAACTATTTTCCCTGAAATGAAATTGAAGACGGTCTTATGTTAAAACTTGATATGCTGGATAATTGGGGTGACTGATGTACGACCGTTAGATCCGATTTCCTGCTTTAAGTCTAGTTTTGTCGATAGTTTGTGGGCGGTAGAGTGATGGTCCTTTTGTACAACACTCAACTGACGGGTTGTCAATACAGTTATACGTGGATGATGTGTCTACATGAGATCCAATAGATACCACACAAATTGTGGGGTGGGGGAAGGGAAATGTCGCAGATGGGTGGAGAGGCGAGGGATTATGATATAAAAAGAAAATGTAAAGTCATAATGTGTATGGGAAGAGCAAAAATTGTTGCGGTGCTGAGACGAGTGAAAGGGCGCCTATGTAGGGTTAGTGTGGAGCCCACTTGTATGAAGAAGCAGCAGAAAGATTTCCACACCCTGGTTTAAAAAAATGTTTAGATCAGTCTCTAGTCTTGACTTCTGGAAAAATGATTTACACGAGCAACGACCAGCTGCTATCACAATGTCCAGTTGTGACCACAATGTCCAGTTGTGACTACAATGTCCAGTTGTGACCACAATGTCCAGTTGTGACTACAAGGTCCAGATGTAATCACTAGGTCCAGATATGACCATAAGGTCCAGCTGCTATCACAATGTCCAGTTGTGACTACAAGGTCCAGATGTAATCACTAGGTCCAGATATGACCATAAGGTCCAGCTGCTATCACAATGTCCAGTTGTGACTACAAGGTCCAGATGTAATCACTAGGTCCAGATATGACCATAAGGGCCAGATGTGACCACAAGGTCCAGTTGTAATCACTAGGTCCAGATATGACCATAAGGGCCAGATGTGACCACAAGGTCCAGTTGTAATCACTAGGTCCAGATGTAATCACTAGGTCCAGATATGACCATAAGGTCCAGCTGCTATCACAATGTCCAGTTGTGACCACAATGTCCAGTTGTGACTACAAGGTCCAGATGTAATCACTAGGTCCAGATATGACCATAAGGGCCAGATGTGACCACAAGGTCCAGTTGTAATCACTAGGTCCAGATATGACCATAAGGGCCAGATGTGACCACAAGGTCCAGTTGTAATCACTAGGTCCAGTTGTAATCACTAGGTCCAGATGTAATCACTAGGTCCAGATATGACCATAAGGTCCAGCTGCTACAATGTCCATGTGACCACAAGGTCCAGTTGTAATCACTAGGTCCAGATATGACCATAAGGGCCAGATGTGACCACAAGGTCCAGTTGTAATCACTAGGTCCAGATATGACCATAAGGGCCAGAGGTGACCACAAGGTCCAGTTGTAATCACTAGGTCCAGATATGACCATAAGGTCCAGCTCTAACCACGACGACCTGATGAAGAACAACTCCATTGGAGAAATGCTGATGTATTGACTGCACTCTCAATTCGTCATCCAACATAACATGAGGACTTACCTTAAATATTTGAGGCTAGAGGTAATAAAATCCCCATTGATTGTAAGCCCAAAAGAGAACATCAGATGATGTATCAGGACAAGAGAGGGGGTCTGATCTGGACTGATCAGCGCTGATATGCCCATAAAACCCATGTGTACATGGGTCAACAACCTAACCAAAGTGTCAGCAACAACTGCACCAAATTTAATGTTCAAAGTACTCGAGTTTCTTATTTTCTTTAACAGTCAAGGCCGTTGTTTAAAACTGATATCTTAGTTTCTATGACGGTTAAGGCCCTAGTTTAAAACTGATATCTTAGTTTCAATGATAGTTAAGGCCCTTGTTTAAAACTGATATCTTAGTTTCAATGACAGTTAAGGCCCTTGTTTAAAACTGATATCTGCTTTTCTATAACAGTCAAAACCGTTGTTAGAGTTTGATTTCTCTTCTGAGTTTCTATAACAGTCAAGGCCAACGATGGAAATCAATACGTCCTTTTATGAGTTGCTATGACACTCAAAGCCCTCTTTTAAAAAAACCGATACCTTTCATGCGTTTTTCTATAGCCTTGGGCGGCTCATTATCTCGACTATCATTAAGACTGCGGTAGATCTAAGTGGTCAGTGAACGTCCTTCGGAACCAGTGGTATAGTTTTCTGACACACTGCGGCAATTTTTCGTAATGGTTTTTGTTTTTCATTAATGAAAAATTAATGAAACATAAATCTTACAAATATGCCGCCATTGGAGCTAAATATAGACAAAGGTTAACTTGTTTTCTTTCTCTTCTACATAGTCTCCACGTTTGATTCTTTTCCATTTGTTTACTTGCTGAAGAGAAAAATCAATAACGAGTTCTCAACTATGAAAGTAGAGAAGAAAAAACACAAAGCTAAGCGAAATAGGAGTGGGATAATAAACAGCTGATGAAATATTTAATGTGACACATTCCATAGCGAGGCTGCCGTTGCCAATGGTAACATCAAAGCTCGCATTAAAGGCTTAAAATAATGGGACATAGCGTTGGCTATAAAATATGGAAAACTAATTAATATCATGAAACGGAATTTATATATATATATATATATATATATATATATATATATATATATATATATATATATATATATATATATATATATATATATATATAGAATGTGTGTATATGTATATATATATTTATGTATGTATTTATATATTTATGTATGTATGTAAATGTATGTGTAAGTAGATATATCTATATATAGATAGATGTATATAGAATAATATAGATGTATATATATACGTATGTATCTATATATATTTATATGTGTGTGTATATATATATATGTATATATATATATATATATATATATATATATATATATATATATATATATATATATATATATATATATATGTATGTATGTATATATATATATGTATATGTATATATATATGTGTATATATATAATATATTTATTTATTCATAATAATACTTACATTAACTTTAAAATTAACTTTGTTGTTTGCGAATCACATACAAATTCAGTAAGTGATTGCTCTGTACCTTATGTCCACTATTTAACTCCCCTGACAAATACCGAAATTATATTTTTCCTCTGTTTTCCCACCACGATGCTAAACAGTTCGGGTAATTCCGATTTCATAGATTGCGGTGCACCGTTTCATTTCGGTGGTCGCCGGGAAAACCCGAAACGTGTCTGCAACAAATTGGTATCCGAATGACTCACCGCTATTTGGCAAACAACGCTATTTGTCCTTGTATTCCTGTGTCCACATGGGCAATCTGTTCGTTTATTTATTGCAATCATAAAACGCGAATAACAAAATACCCCAGATCACGTTTGGGTGCTGATAATAGTAATACGGACAGGATAATTACATTAGGGTTGATTGTGTTTATTAGCTATTAATGGGAAAACAACAGTAAATTTGTATGCCATGGTTAAGCAGGAGTGCGAAAAATATAATGAATTAGTTTCAAAATATTTGTATAGTCAAGTCGACAAGAGGCTGATGTATTCCATTTTAATGTCATTACGGTAATGCAGTGGTAACACACCAAAAAAAAAAACGTTTCTCGAGAGGATTGTACCTGTTTTTTTTTTTTAAACCTGGCATTCGCCTTAACCTTATTTCTAATCCTAAATGTATCGATACTGTTTACTGTAAACAATTGCCGACTAGGGTAGATGGAAGTATTTTTATGAAATAGAAGGAATAGCTCAGCTAGGTAAACAATATGAATGAAATAGAAGAAATATCTCAGAAAAACACCATGAAATAGAAGAAATATCTCAGAAAAACTAAGCACGAAATAGAAGAAATAACTTTTATAAAAACTAAGCATGAATTGAAGTAATAATTCTGCATGTTGAAAACTAAGCATAAGCCTACATAGCGAGAAATACCTTAGAAAAACATGCATAAATAAAAGAAATAGCTCAGCAAGTTAAAAACTATATATAAATAGATTCAAGAAGAAATAAGTTTTGTAACAGCTAACAATGAGCCCATGAAACAGCTCAACTATGGTAAAAACCAACTACAAACATTTAGATAAGATGTTGACGTTTTAGCCTTAGGCTTGTTATACAACAAAAGTCCATCAATAATTGATTCACATCGAACGTCATCAGCCTTTTCCATGTATCCTGTGTGTGGATGCTAATAATTATTGAAATAGCCTCCAACCATCCAGCAGAATGCACAAGATTTACGATGTCAACAAGTGTTTTATTTCTGTAGCTTGCGTCTGTTGAGTGCCGAGATATAACGACTTGTATCCAACGTGGTTTTTTTTTTTTTTTGTATAAGATTAAAATTTGCCACATAACATGGCTGTTTGTATGCCATAGAACATAAATTTATAGAACCTTAGCATATAAAAACCTTATTCAACTAACGTTTTATTTTTAAATATCCATATAATAACTTACGTATCGTTTTTTTACTTTCTCGTATATACGAAGTATAGAGAAAGTATTGTAATCGTGCAAAAAAAAAAATCGAGATTTTTACAGATCTCGACGTTTTACACCTCACTGATACGGAAAAACATAATTTTGCAATCTTGTCCGTATGTCTGTGTGTGTGTGTGTCTGTGTGTGTGTCTGTGTGTGTGTCCGTGTGTAAACACGATAACTTGAGTACAGTTACAGCTAGGTTGATGAAATTTCACATATAAGTATTATATCAAAATCGTAGATCCGTATCAACTTTTGAGCGATTTTCGATAACCGGAAGTGGTACTTTTCCTACTTTGAATTTTTCAAAAGCCTATAACTTGAGTACTATTTCAGATAGATAAATGAAATTTCACATGTAAGTAAAAGATCTAATTTTCTACCTTCTGTTAAATTTTGAGTAATTTCCGTTGACTGGAAGTAGTAATTTACGCTACTTCCGATTTCTCAAAAAACGCATGTAAATTTTAAAAGTACTAATAATATTGCGCACTATTATGCGCTTTTTTATTGGGCGTTCACTTGGTGTGCAATTAATTTGTCTACGAGATTTTATTCTATTTTTAAAACTTTAAGTATTTAAAATGGATTAAAAATCATGTCTATAGCCCGAGTTCCCATCCCCTGTTATTTTATATAAGAATATTCGAGAAAGTTTAGGGGAGATCACTCCCGGTTTATTTAAACAAGTGGTTAAATATTTCAATAAAATGCATGTTTTAACTTTTTTTTTTTTTTTGAAAATTACAATTTTCCGCAAAATAATGTAACGTAAGAGCTTGTATGACCTTTAAGCAGATCTGGTATTGGTAAACAAAACCACTGGGCTATACGTTTGATATATACATACGGCATAAATGAAAAGCGTTCATATTTAATAGAGTATCGCATGATTATGAATATTTTTTGTTTGCCGGTTGCCGGCTGAAGTCGCAATAAAGGATTCCAGAATCCCACATCCCCCTCCACCCAAATCACCCCCTCCCTCCACCAGAATCCTCCCCTCTCCCCGGGAATCACCCCTCCCCCTTTTCCACCAGAATCCCCCCCCCCCCAGAATCCCCCCTCCCCCAGAATCCCCCCTCCCTCCAGAACCACCCCTGCACCTGCTACGGTTTCCTTGAGCTGACTGTTTGCACGGCGGAAGTGAACATCGAACGATGCCGGAAATGTACGGTTTCCGGAGTGTCCCTGAAGGAAATTTTTCTACTCTAGAATAGAGTTTGGTTGACAAACGGCTGCCGAGCGGTGAGGTTTAATGCTCAAGTTTTAAAGGGCGACACGATGGTTTTTTTTTTTTAAGCTTTTATGTTTTCTCTCTTGCGCATGTTTGTTTGAACATTAGAAAATTGACGTTTAAGGAAAAAAAATTAAAACTTCTTTTGCAAATAATTGTTTTATTTGAAAACCCAAATGTTTTTATTCATATAATATTCCTGGCGATGGTAATTCTTAGGAGAAAATACGTTTTTGAGTCGTTTTTCTGTTATCGGAAGCATTTTTTTAAAAATTATTTTAATTAAGTATAGAGCTTAAACTTGATTAGGTTTTATTTATTTTTTATTATTATAATTTTTTTGTTACATTTATTTTTATTCATCATACACGAAAGCAACAAAGATTTTTCAAAGTAAAGTAACAAAATAATTTTTTTTAATGAAGATAGCAAACAGTCGACTATATGTTTGGACCTCTATTATTGGGAAACATTGTATGTATGTTTATATATCAAGAGCAGAATAAAATATACCAGAAAAACTATTGACCAGTTAGACTACAAGAGATTTAATGAAAGGAAAAGAATAAAACAAAATAGTCTATCTGCGGACATCGAAATTAGCTTTTGTTTTAGCGAAATCTTAAATTCATAAAAAAAGTAAAAATTGCCTTTTCGAATCTGGCTGTCCATGGGGCAAGTGAAGTAGAGTTCACCTGTTTCTGTGACCTCGGCATATGAAGGGAACTTTATGTATCGTTTTGATAAACGTTTTCATGTTTGTTTTTATATTTTGAAATAATGTATCTCACAAGCTCTGTATTGATCTCAGCTTTGAACTTAGCCGTCATTTCTTTATATTCACACTTTTTATTGGTATCTCGCTCTGAAATGCTGCTGTGTGATCTCCGGTAGATTCACACACAAACTGCTAGAAATTACGTAAAATGGACATTGTTTTTTATCTTACCTTAGTAAACAAACACAACGCAAAAACTTTACCAAAGGAGACTGGTAACGTGGGACATAGCTCAGGGAAAAAAAGAACATTTATTAAGCTTCTCATTTTAAACTTAGGGCAGAGTTTGCTGATAATCTTGAGGATCACGTCGGATTATCGAACTTGAAATTGTCGAGCTCGAGCATGATCCGGGGATGATTATTTTTATTTGCTTTCGATCGGTGAACAAGGTTCTGATATAAAAATCGTATCCGCAATCGGGAAAAAAAATTGTTTAAAAATTGTAATTTTTAAGTTACAACTATAAGAATGTGTTGTTGTTTTTTCTAACTAATATTACTCATCACCAGCAGATGACAAAACATTGACTCTCCTTCTATTTATAGCATTAATTACCAACTACAGGCCTTTTTTTTCAGATAAGTGTACGATCTTCAAATGCAAAACGTCATAAGATTGTCACATTTAATTTGAAAGCAGCCATTAAATAACTTATTTAAGTATCGAGAATAAACCAGCATAAAACCACGCAGGCTAGGGTGTATCTCCTTCTTGTCTGTCTGTCAAAATATTTTTAAATGTTGATTTTGGACATATGTATGATCAGGTGACCGGAATCATGCGCAACGCAAAACTGCTCAATGGCATTTTTGTTTTCTTAAATCGATCATTTATACTTGAAGACGTAAACAAAGAATGACCGCATGTACATTGTAGCATAATTAACATTTTTACACGAAATATGACAAAATTAAAGTATATTATTATAATTAGTTTGTATATACGCATTTTTCTTTTTGCGCAGTTTTCTTTTTGCGCAGTTTTCCATTTGCGCATCTTTCTGTGAACCGTATGGTTAAATTATTTATACCATTATGTAACCTACTGGTATATCAGATGTTAACACGTATTGTTTTTTGTCTCCCATCAGACGGGGCGAGGAGCAGGCGTGTTGCTGTACGCAGTGGGCGCCAGTCCCTACCACAACCACATCACCATCTCCATCTACAACGGCGCTATCCACGCCTCCATCTCCTTCGAAAAAGACGATCTGACATTCTCTGAAGGGATTGGTCTGGACGACAAAGGGTGAGTGTCTAGCTGTCTCTGTCACTCGCCTCCACTCTGTACTGTAGTGTTTAGATGTGTCGTATCACTAGTTGCAGTAAGAAAACGGTTAGGTTGATTTATATATACATACATTCATGGCTACAGGACATTACCCCCCTGGAAATTACCCCCCCCCCCCCCGGACATTTCCCCCCTAAAACTTTACACAAAACCAAAACCAAAGCTAGACATTGGTTTAAACTTAACCCTAACCCTAGCTCTAACCCTCTCTAACTCTAGCCCTAACCCTAGCTCTAACCCTCTCTAACTCTAGCCCTAACCCTATCACTAGCCCTAACCCTGACCCTGACTCTGACCCTAACCCTAACCCTAACCCTAGCCCTAGCCCTAGCCCTAACTCTAACCCAAACCCTAAACCTAACCCTAAACCTAGCCCTAAACCTAACCCTAACCCTAGCCCCTAAACCTAGCTATAACCCTATCCCTAGCCCTAGCCCTAACTCTAACCCTGTCCGGAGGGGGGGGGATAATGTCATACTGGGCGGGGGGTAATTGACTGGGGGGGGTAATTGACAGGGGGGTAATTACTCTGGGGGGTAATGTCGGGGGGGGAAATGTCCGGGGGGTAATTGACAGGGGGGAAATGCCCTGTTCCCACATACATACATACATATATATATATATATATATATATATATATATATATATATATATATATATATATATATATATATATATATATATATATATATATATATATATATATATATATATATATATATATATATATATATATATATATATATATATATATATATATATATATATATATATATATATAGGAACAGGACATTACCCCCCCGTCAATTACCCCCTGTCAATTCCCCCCCCCGCCCAGTAGGACACCCCCCCCCCCCATAACAGAGTTATGGCTAGGGTTAGGGTTAGGCTTTAAACCAATGTCTAGCATTGGTTTTGGTTTTGTGTTAAGTTTTAGATTTATATTAGATATAATTATGTGTATGCATATAATAAACTAGCTGCATCCCGTGCTCCGCCACGGTAAATCTTTTTAAATGTACAACTTTGGAACAGAACAAAACGAACAAAAACACAACCACAACACAACCACAACACAACCACAACACAACCACAACACCACAACCACAACGCAACCACAACACAACCACAACACAACACAACCACAACACAACCACAACACAACCACAACACAACCACAACACAACCACAAAACAACCTCAACACAACCACAAAACAACTACAAAACAACCACAGCCACAACATTAGAATCACCACCAAACAACACGCTTTTTTAGGCGTCCGCGCCCAAAGAGAGCCTTTATTTAAGTCACAAAAATAGATTCTACTCCATAACTTACAATAAAACAATGCAATGCAAATAAATGTACGGCAAGTGGTGTTTACTTTTATGGTTCTAAGAAAACACATTGGCAATGTAATTAGAATCACCACCGAAAAACACGCTTTTCCCAGGCGTCCGCGCCCGTAGAGAGCCTTTTCAGCATTCTCTATACTATAATCCTAAAATTTCACCATCTGTTAACACCGAAAAACAAAAACAAAAAAATGTGATTTTGAGAGATCATAGACTAATTAGAAAATAATATAAATAATCTTAACATTTTTCTATTTTACTTATGAACCTTAACATATAATAATCAATGTGGAAGTAATAAAAAAATAACTTAAATTATTGAGAGTGAGTTAAATATTAAAAAAAAAAATTTTCCCATACGTCCGCGCTCAGAATGAGCCTTTCCAGTCTTCTCAAAAAGTCAAATTTTACCATCTGTTTTCATAACACCGAAAAACAAAAGCAAAAAGAAAGTGATTTTTGAGAAATCATAGACTAATTAGAAAATAATAATAAATAATATAAATAATCTTAACATTTTTCTCTTTTAATTATGAACCTTAACATGTAATAATCAATGCGGTAGTAATAAAAAAAAATTAACTTAGATATTGATGAGTTAAATATATTTTTAAATTACCTCCCTTGCAAAAAAATTACCAAACAAAAGTTGAATTAATTAGTTTTTTCGACCTACTTTCATAAAAATATATCCATTTTTTCTAAGAATATAAACGAAAATGATATTTAACATTGATTTTTTAAGTATGTTTTAGCCATTTTCGTGTATTTAATATTTTCTTTAAGTTATGCAAAAGAGTAAACACAGTGGCAATTATAAAATAGCGCTATGTGGCTATATAAACAAACCCTACTCTACTATTTATAATAAGACACTGCGGTGCACTGAAAAGCACAGCATGGTGCGTTGTTTACTTTTATAGTCCCAAAATCTATAGCGATGACGGAAGGAAGGACACGCTCAGCCCGATTATATTATAGATGTTTTCAATTGGAAAATCTATTTTTGCATGTTGTTTCAATGTGTTTCTCAATCTTTTAAAGTTTTTTTAAAAATTGTTTGTCATCTAGAGACTGCTTTTACGCAGCTCGTTGTAATATTGTAGACATATTTTGTTGAGTATCTATAGTGTAATGTTGTATATCAGTATATGCCCTGCCCAGAGAAAAAAAAACTATTTTTACACGCGTGTAGCGTAGTGTAATTAGCACACTTGTCTAGTAAATGGACTAGAAATAATTTAACACTCCTAGTTATCATTGCACATTATTATAATCTTGAAATATGCAAGCTATTAGCTATACGATTTTTTATATTTAAACGAATTGTTCTAGAAATAATTAACCTGTAATGAATATTAAAATAAAGATTTTTAACTCTGTAGTTTGTTTTCAATAATTAAAAAAAACACCCTTTGATGTGTTAACTGTGTGTATGAAAACTTAAGACTTATTGCATTATAAAACCTTTACGTCTTTATCTTCTTCCTCATTGTTGCTAGTTGCTATTGACAAGTTATCATTCACCTCACAAACCAACATCATATAGAAAAAGCGTGTATTATTTGAATTAAAACATTTCATGTTTTGATGTTTTTCATTTCAGAAGTGGGTGAGCACACTGTTTATTTTAATCTTTTTTTTTTGTTTTGTTTCGTAACTGCACTTGGTTATGGGCTGCATTTTTATATTTTTAGCTTTTAAAATAATACGTATTTTGCTTAACACTAATCATTAAAGTTAATCTTTTAAGTTCTTGTTTGCTTTTTTTTTTTTTTTTTTTTTTATTAACAACTAATTAGTAATCAATTTCTAAAGTTCGATACATTATATTTATTCAAGCAATACTTATATTTAGCCATGATAAGTTAGCAATGAAGCATTCAGTTTCTTCCTGGCATATCTTCGAGGGTGTGTGGGGAGGGGGCCGAAAAAAGTCTGCCCCCCCCCCCCCCCACACACACCCGAACAAAATGGAATTTATATAGAAATTTTTTTTTTTTACCAATGTCCGCCCTCCCCTTGAAAATTTAGTCCGCACGCCTCCACCCCCCTCCCCCCCCCCCCTAAAATTAAGTGTCCCCCACCCCTTGGCGAAAAAAGTATGAAAGAAACACTGGAAGCATCATATTTTATTAACACAGTCAAGTAAATTCTGTCAACGCCGAAAGCCAATTGACCCTGTGATCGCTCCATGAAGCCACCAGCGACCGATGAGTAAATCACTAGCTGACTGGTTGTTTCTTCTTGGACTTCCGCTTGTTGTTGCCAGAAAGGTGTCTTACTTGATCTACATCAGTGGTTCTTAACATTTTTGGAGGTACCAAACCCCACCAGTTTCATATGATCATTCACTATTCACCGAACCCTTCTTAATAGTGTTATCCGCACTAAAAAAAAACAAGTTAATAAAAAGTCTAGTGACAATTTAATTTTTTGTAAATATCATCCTATAAATATAAACTCCTACACGATGCTCAGTTTAAATCATCCTAGGCCTACACGATGCTCAGTTTAAAATATATTTAAAAAAAATTGTGACCGAACGAAAGGATATTTTTGAAAACTTTCTTCGGCAATATTGTTTTAAATTATGGCAGAAATCGATTGGTAAATGTTTCAAGTCGCTAAGTGGTCTGTTTGCCGAGATATGGAGCAAAAACTGCATTTGTTCAAGTTTTTATGGCTTTTCCGGGAAATCCAGGAAGGAATTCCGGGAATTTTTTTGGCCCACAATCATCCTTGGAACTTGCTTAACATATTTGCTTTTGGAACTAGTCCTCGATATTGCTTCGTTGAGGAGGAGATACGACTTAAAGGCTGCGGACACACATCCATACATCCAGAAATGACGAGTTAATAATCGCTATTGTCCGTATGGAAATTGCGCTAAAAATCCGATCATGAATCATATGAGTAGGTGTGTGTCTTGACCTGCGCATAACCCCTGACACTGACTCACAGTTCGAACCCAAGTTAAGAACCACTGATATAGTAGAATCGATGAGACAACACGCTAGTCACAGATACAAAATTTTTGTTAGGCCCTCTCTGTTTCATCCCATCATTAAAATGGTAGTAGTTTAATGGTTTTCTTGAATATTGTCGATCACACTAAATCAGGGGTCTCCAAACTTTTTAGTCCGAGGGCCGCATTGACTATCAAATTTCAGTTCGGGGGCCAGTTTCTTCCGGACATGTCTTTGATTTTTCTGGGCAAAGATCCTCAGCCATCACCTATCAACGTTTTCTCCGTGGACAAAAAGATCTCCGCGGGCCGGATGAGAGGACCTCGCGGGCCGTAGTTTGGAGGCCCCTGCACTAAATGGACAGCGGTGACTTAGAATAACACGATTTAGACAGCGAGACGTCTGAAATGTATGAAGGCTTGTTTCAATGTAGATGTCTTGCTTTTAAAAATTCGATCTCTGCTTGAAGATTGCTTTGTAAGACATTTATAATAGTTGGAGTAAGGTACGTACTAGGCATGAAAGAGATATTTGAAAGGTAACAGCCCAAAAAAGCACGTTGGACTAATCAAGACAAGGAATGTTCGTGAATTGTCATCATCCTTTGTCGTACGATTATGTCAAACTAGGCTAAACCCGACATTATTACCCCCCTGTCGATTACCCCCCCCCCCCGATCACAGCTTAATGGACAGCTAGGGTTAGGGCTATGATCAAGGTTAGGGTTAGTGTTACGGTCAGGGTTGGGGTCAGGGCTATGATTAGGGTTAGGGTCAAAGTTAGGCTTAAACCAATGTCTAGATCTGTTTTTGGTTTTGTGTTAAGTTTTAGGCTGAGGTGAATTCTAATGCTTTTGTCTTTTTCTTAAGGTTAGGATTAAGGTAATATATAGGTATAGAATTTGAGTTAGGATTCTAACTTGAGAGGGGGAGGGGGGGGTTATTACAGGGGAAATGTCCGAGGGGTAAAGTCCTGTAGCCCCAATGTTTAAATTTTTTCAAACAAAACTTATATTATCCATACACAATGTTTTTGGTTTATCTAAGTAAGAATCGTAACGCTTCTTAAAGATTAAAATGTTGCTCGTCCGTTACGATCTGTGACGACAGATAGACTGTCAACAGACTGACGATAGAGGAAGCAAGTTAAATAAAAGTTTGTAAAAATAGAAAACTACCCCTATAGTGGTTCTCCCCAGGTACATCCCATTTTATGATTTAACGCAGGGTAAACTCGTACCTCACCGTCCAGTACCCAGCTCAATAGTAGGAAGCTAATAACTAAAAAAAAACTACGTTACTCAGGTCAAATTAATGATAACTGACAGATAGGGATATGCATTCTGAATAAAATAACATTCCCATCTAACGATATTCGAAAAAGTGGGCTGTGGCAAGCATGGAATTGTTGCCACGGAGCTGTCCAGAGCACTGCTGTAGGACTGGGCTTGGTGCCCTAGCAGCTGTCAGCTGTCCGTATACTTTCTACTGCACTTATTCTCACTGTTTTCTGATGAGTGTTTTTATCCTGTTTAATGAAATAATATAACTATTAATATTTGTGCATGGAGCTGGAGAGCTGCATCTTGACATCAAAAGAGCCGCATGCGGCTCGCGAGCCTCAGGTTGCCGACCCCTGCTTAAGGAGAGGGAGAAAAATATAAATAAAAAGACACTTAATTAATCAGATGATTAATTTGCGACTAAAACGATTTTAGACGCATTAATTGCACTATCTCATTTTATATGTCTACTAATATTAAGTATTGCAATCTATAACGGCTACTAATGTATTTATTTTTCAACTTGCTAAAAAAACAACCTTCCAAAATATTTTGTTTAGGACTTCTGCTCTATATAATTTTTACAATAGCAAATAATAACTTAAAGTTGTGTTTATGAGTAAGCAGTCAATCTAAGCTAAAGAACGAATTATCTCCCATTTTGAAATCCAAATACCAAAATTTCATTCAAGGGAAATAACTTTCATAAGAATAGCTAAATTAACCAAGTGTAACTAAGACATGATTGAAAAACACAAAAAAAACTCTTTAAATTTCATCACATAATCATTATAAATTATATCTAAAAAATTTATATTAATTATGTAACCTGTCAAAACAATATATTTTATCAATTGGCTACTTAACTATAGGTTGTTTGAAGTATAAACATAGTAGCTTTATTATAACATACTTCTAGTCAATATCGATGACATTCTTTCAATTGCCGCTTTGTGTAGTTCAACGATTGATATTACATTAATTTTAGATACTCAAAATAATAAGACGCCTTTAAAAAAAAAAATCAAATACGCAGTAGGGAGGTGGGGGTGCATTTTCACTAACGCAAATAAATGTAGCCATATGAAGGCCTAATCTGGGGGTGGGGGTGCAAAATTGATAGTTCGTCCTGGTCGCCGAAATAGCTTGCTAAGCCTTTGTATATTGCCATCTATAGTTTATAGAAGATAATTAAAGTTAGTAATTATTAGGTACTTTTTGATAATGGCGATTACAAATTTTTGATGAGAATAGAAAACTTTACCCAATAGTGAAGACAGAGATGGGATGAGAATAGAAAACTTTACCCTATAGTGAAGACAGAGAATGGAAGAGAATAGAAAACTTTACCCTATAGTGAAGACAGAGACTGGTTGAGAATAGAAAACTTTACCCTATAGTGAAGACAGACTGGATGAGAATAGAAAACTTTACCCTATAGTGAAGACAGAGACTGGATGAGAATAGAAAACTTTACCCTATAGTGAAGACAGAGAATGGATGAGAATAGAAAACTTTACCCTATAGTGAAGACAGAGACTGAATGAGAATAGAAAACTTTACCCTATAGTGAAGACAGAGACTGGATGAGAATAGAAAACTTTACCCAATAGTGAAGACAGAGACTGAATGAGAATAGAAAACTTTACCCTATAGTGAAGACCGAGAATGAATGAGAATAGAAAACTTTACCCTATAGTGAAGACAGAGATGGGATGTGAATAGAAAACTTTACCCTATAGTGAAGACAGACTGGATGAGAATAGTCACTCAATAGTGTTGACACTAATGACATCCCGCTGTGAGTGGGAGATTGAAGGTTAGCCTACAATGGCGGCTCCCTGGCAAATGGCGCGGCTAATCAATGGCATGCTGGGAAGTGTCGTTTGCTCGCAGGGAGGGACGGAAATGATGTACAACAAACAGCTGGGTGGCCTTCATCGACAGCCACGCAGGTTTCTCATTAGCTGATGCAATCAATGGGGTAGTGGTTCTTAAGTTTTTAGCATCAGTAACGTTATCAGCAACGCAGATTTTTTCATTACTTGCTGCAATCAAATGTTTAGTATCTTTATCGGCAGCCGCGCAGTTTTCTCATTAGCTGATGCAATCAATGGGGCAGTGGGTCTCAAGTTTTCTAGCCTCAGTACCTTTATCGACAGCCACGCAGGTTTCTTATTAGCTGATGCAATCAATGGGGCAGTGGTCCTCATATTTTCTAGCCTCAGTACCTTTATCGACAGCCACGCAGGTTTCTCATTAGCTGATGCAATCAATTGTGCAGTGGTTATCATCGTTTCTAATATCAGTACCTTTATCGGCAGGAGTTGCAGGTTTCTCATTAGCCGATGTAATCAATGGGGCGGTGGTTCTCAAGTTTTTAGCATCAGTAACGTTATCAGCAACGCAGGTTTTTCATTACTTGCTGCAATCAATGGTGCAGTGGTTCTCAAGTTTTTAGCATCAGTAACGTTATCAGCAACGCAGGTTTTTCATTGCTTGCTGCAATCAATGGTGCAGTGGTTCTCAAGTTTTCAGGGGTTTTCAAAATTTCTTACAAACTTACTTCTTTTGCTAGATTTTAAGTAGCTTTGACAATATTAAATAAAGACAATGTTTTCAAACAGATGTGGAAATCTTTAAGACAGTCGTTCAAAAACTTTTCCAACATCGGTACCCAGTCTAACCTGCAGAAATTAATGATAAGACCTTTCTAGGAACAGCTTCACTAAGTGTTGGAACTAATATTTATTTGGAATGTATTTTTTGTTGTTTTAATTATTATCATTTTTACATAATGCATTTTATACTTTTAAAGTATAATATTTCAATTTTATAATTTAAAAAAAAATGGTATTGCTATTCTCTTAACATAATTGATTTAGATTGCATATATTTTTATTAATTAATCTACTGTAATAATACTTTAATTACTTAACTTTCTAATAATGATTTGTTTGCTGAATAATTTCACTCACTAAAAACCTTGTGTGTTTTATACATTAATACTTTAATACTATCCCTATACAATAAGTCAACAACTTTGTTTTGAACACAAGGAAGAGCTTTACGTGCAGGCATATCTCTTGTTTATTAGGCAAACACATTGGTAACTCAATGCAAGGAATATATCACATTATTTGTAAAAATAGTAGGCTTATATAAAGCAATTAAATACAATGTATTAAAATATGTAAAATTTTATACTTAATTTCCTTTAAATTGTATAATTTATATTTTTTTAACTTTATTGTTTACATTTTATTTGTGTATAGCGTGTGCACATTTAAAGTCACGATTGTCAGAGCCGTGTAACTCTATTAAGTTTATAAAGCACGTTATTTGTGAATAATATTTAAAACTGATTTTACCTGTACCATTTACCTTTGGCGTATACCTCACCAGGTGGCATAACCTGACCATCGACCACCGCGAGAGTGTGGTCAGTTTTTACCTGGACGGTAAGGCCACGGAGAAGAGGATAGCCCACGGGTATTATCTGAACCTGGACCCGTTCATTTACATCGGCGGGGGTGACAACTTCGTCCAGACCAAAGGTGAGTACGTGTCAATACCACGTGTGGTTTGGGTGAGTTCATGTTCTAGACTTCAGGGGTGCTCAACTTTTGCTTAACTCACTCTTTATGTATCCACATACCCTGTCTGATTAGTGTTCTAAAATTTATAAAACTGCGTAAGATTAAATTGTGGAAGCACAATTATCGTTTAAACATTGATGCTCAGTTTTAATCTTAAAACGTATTAAGCAGTAATGTATGAATGGAAAATAGCCGATATCGCTAAGATATTCTATTTTACGTACGCTATAAATAAATATTAGAACGCCGTTGATATTACTTGCATATTTATTTACATTCAAAGACCCCCACACCTCTTATGAAGGGGTCGGGGTCTTATCCCTACCCTATACACAAGGGTTAGGGGACGGAGTGGTCTAGCGGTAGAGAGCTGGACTGCTAACCCCTATGTCTCGAGTTCGAATCCGGGTTCAAGTCAGTAGACCGTCCCTGAGTCCACCCAACTCTGATGGGTACTTAACTCACGTTTGGGAAAGTAAAGATGGCTGGGCATAGTGCTGACCACACTATCTCTTCATATGCCGAGGTCACAGAAACAAGTGAACTCAACTTCACTTGCCTTAAAGACCGGGTTAGTTTTTCTAATCCCACCGTCAGGATCCTATTCAAAAACCTTTACATATAGTGTGTTTGCTACAACTACACACGTTTTACATGGGTTTAAGAGTCCAGCACAAACCTCATCCACCATGTAATAGGGTCTTGCTTCTGGGATAGCTCAATTTCTCAAACGCCCTCGTCATATCAGCCTCGAGATTTACATTATTTTAAGGTTGTTGTTACCATTTTCTCCTCATATTGAATACGAACTTCTGAAACTGAATATGACCTTCTGAAACTGAATATTACCTGTACAGGTTGAATATGACCTGTACAAACTGAATATGACCTCTACAGATTGAATATGACCTGTAGAAATTGAATATGACCTTCTATAATTGAATATGACCTGTACAAACTGAATATGACCTCTACAGATTGAATATGACCTGTATAAATTGAATATGACCTTCTATAATTGAATGTGACCTGTACAAACTGAATATGACCTGTACAGATTGAATATGACCTGTATAAATTGAATATGACCTCTATAGTTGAATATGACCTGTTCGTATTCAATCTGTACAGGTCATATTGAAAACGCCCGGTCGATTTTGATCCGTGACCTAATCAACTCTCAGCACACCCTAGAGCAATTTAACATTTAATTGAATTCGGCTTGTTGTTTTTTGTTGTTTTTTCAATTAAAAAAACTATATTTCCATTAACTCCTCAATCTTTTTATTGAATCATTTATCCTTTTTAGCCTGTGTACAATTTTATTAAATTAAAAATGCATCACCAACTGTTGACGTTTTCTTGAAACTGTACACAAGTTGCTGAAAATAAAATATGATTAAAATAAAAACTGTAATTAAAATCGCAGCTTCACAGAAAGAATGTAAAAAATATCAAATGTAATAAGATTTTTTTTAAAATTAATATTATTATATTTCAGCCACATTGACTTTAAAATATTGATTTAAATAATTATTTCATTATCTATGATTTTCTATTTCACTTTTGCTAGAATTTTTGTTTTGTTTACTGTTTTAAACAATCTGTCAATATTGCAATTTTCTCTTCTGGGTGATCTTTTTGTTTTCATCATGAGCGCTCTCAATAGCTTGGCAGGAAATGATATTTTCATCAACATTGCCAAATCCCAGAACTTCTGAAAGTTTAAATAAAGAATGATAAAAAAAAATATAATAATAATTTTTTTTTCCCGATTCCTTGTTTGGCTGAAAATTTTCACTTAACAACAACCGAAGTGAAAAGACAAGATGGGGGTAATGGGATGGATGCACTTTGACCTCAGTCAGGGTTTTCGCCCCGAGGATACGCGAAAGGAATTTTCGAGTGGGGGGAAATGGGCCGCTGACCCTTAGACCGACATGTACACAAATTTCAGCCGGGCTGTCAGTAATGCCTTCTGATGGGGGAGACTGAGTAGCTTGTTAACATGCCCTCATCACTCATTGGTTAGTCATAGCGTCACGTGATCGATGGCTTCCAGAATAGCGGGGCTCTTGTTTACTTCAAGTGACCTCGTTACGTTCGCTTGTTGCGCGGGATTAAAAATGCGGACGGGAAATGTGTGATTTGAAATATAAAAGTCAGTGACGAATTATTTGTTTCGTTAGTTCAGTTTAAAAAGAGGCTTCTTTTTTATGACCAAGTACTAAAGTGTAAAGAAAAGAGATCCTAGGCGCTAGTACTAAATGGCTAGCTTTCTCTTCAGTAATAAGGATCATTAAGAGTGAATTATAAATATATAAGCTTAGTATAGGCAGATATTTAGTTTATTCTAAAGCGTTTTCTTAAATAGCATTCTTTTATTTCAAAATTTGACAAACTAATTCAAAAAATAAACTTTTAAACTTTAACGATTTATAGCATTTCAAATAACGATGTGCGCATAAATACAGATACACAACTTAAATGATGGGTTCCATAGAATTCCTTCCCAGTTCATTCCCAAGATTGTTCTTGATAGGTAGATCTACAAGCTATTAAGACCTTATAAAATGGGCCTGTATGGCTTCAAATGACGACATAAACATACAACTTTCACATATCCTGACTGTTGTACGGTCCTGTGTTAGCCACTTCCGGTAACGTTATAATCAAACATACCGACAAACATTTGATTGGCATTTCCGGTCATACGGGTTGTCCTGGTGTAAGTCCCCCCTCCCCTCCCCTCCCCCCTACCTCCCACTTCATCACCATCATGAGAACATTATCGATCTAATCTATGTTTGAATTGAGTGTATTGTTTGCCATGGGAGTCGACCTGGACTTGGTACCGTCTGGACGTGATGGATTAGAATGTATTTATGTTTTAGAGGGGGGGAGATTGGAGGGGGTGGGGAGGGGGGTATTGGAGGGGGTTTCTTTCGTCTGAAGCTTTTGGATTAAGATTTGAGTTTGATGTTTGTGTAACTTTATGTATTAGGATTAAAGACGATGTGGTCGAATGGTAGAGCGTTCGACTGCCTAGCGGGTTCGGATCCCAGGCTCGAGAGTCCGTACGACGTCTCTGAGTCCACCAAGCTCTGGTGAGGGAATGTAAAGGCGGATGGGTATAGTGCTGAAAAGAATATCCCTTCATTTGGCGAGGTCAATGAAACAAATGACCGTAAGGTTCTGAAGGGTACGTTGTAGGATTATTTTTAGGTTAGACTCCAGTGTAACTTAAGCGTATGAGTGAAATCCTGAAAGATACCGTTTGAAAAAAAAAAACCGTTCACCAAGAAGGCACACAGCGGATTGATAGGTGTACATTCGGCTATATTCATAGATGATACGATGATATTATATTTTAAAGTATGTTCTTGTCATCGCTAGCTATGGAGAAACCGATTCTAGGAAGAAGAAAAAAAAGGAATATTAGCTGTTATGTAATTTTTACAAGACCACGAATAGTCTTATCGAAACTACATTTTACTAGTACCGCCAACCCAAGCCTAGCCCTTATAATAATTTTATCTCTAGCTTTTACGCAATTCTGACTTGATTGCGATACTCTATACCAGTGCTTCTTAATCTTTTTAGAGATTCCAAACCCCACCAGTTTCATATTCACGGAACCTTTGTTAATAGCTCTTTAGTCCGCACTGACACAATCCCATCCTGAATAATACGAGTCGGGTGTCTGTCTTAACCTGCACCGAACCCCTGAGACTGACTCACCGAACCCCTGTGTTTCGATGATCGAACCCAGGTTAAGAACCACTGCTCTATAACAAAACAGAATTTACGTGCATGTGTTTTTTAAAGAATCGGCTATGGTTAGTATTGATACTAGATAGTACTACTCTACTATCTATCGTTCTGCAAATTACACTAAAATAACCGTGTTTTTCTTAGGTTTTTAATTTTTATTTTTAGAACGACGTTAACTAGTCCTAAACAAATGTTTCTATCGCGAGCCACATATTTCTCTCCCCCACCAGGGGACGTTATCTTATAATCTCCCCTTTCCGTTGGTCCTATTTGTATAGCTGACCTCCCTTGTTTGGACGTCACTTCCCTTTTATTCTAACGCCTGCGATCTCATGTCCGTCTTTTGCTTTCACTTTCACCAATAAAACTAGGACTCCATTCTGTGTATACCCTTATTCCCAGCCGTGATATCCCCTTTCCCTGACCCTGCTTTAGGTTTGTTGCTTTGGTAGGGGGGGGGGGAGAGAAAAACCTAACCAGCTGTAAACATTAAGTCGGAAACAATTTTCGTCGAATCCGTACAGTTCCCAATAAAATACGATTTCTACTCCCCCCCCCCCCCCCCCCCCCCCACCCCCCACATTTTTTTTAAAATTAAATTATTAAAACAGCCCCTATAATTAAAAGGAGAATGTTCCAGAGATCTTGGGAAAAAAATGTAATCGGATTCAGATTTCAGTTCCCGAAGCCGATATCTGTCAAACCGTATTAGTCAAAAGACGTCCATATGACGTCACGTGATTTGTAACGATTTTTTTTTCCATTCATCTATTGGGCTTGTAAGTTTATCGTTCTTTCTCGCGTTAATTCATGTCTGGTTGGCCAGGGAGAGATAAAAGTTTTCGAACTAAATCAATTGTTGTGAACGGGATTACCATTGATAACAAAAAACATGGCGGCTATTTGTTAGTAGATCTAGGTCCCGCTTCAAGATTTCAAAATCATCAAACGTTCCAGAAATGCAACAATTGTAAAAACTTTCAACGCTGTTTTGTTCATATGGATGGGAACAAACACATGTGTATGCATTTTTTAATATAAAAGTTTTGTGGCTGTAAGTATATTGATTTTATTTCTTTTGTTGATAGTTTGTCCAAGGCTAGGGGACATTACTCTGACTCTACTTCTTTGCTACGAGACTCAAGATTCCCAGACCTAGAATCTAGATCTAGATCTAGATTCTAGAATCTACATACTAAGATCTACATTGCTTTAATCCAGTTCTAAGCGTATAAGTTCATGAATTAGAATCTATTAGATCTAGATTCTAGATCTAGTATTTTAGTGATCTAGATAAAATATTAAATTAAAAATAGATCTAGATCTATTAAGAAAAGGATGACTCTCAGTCTCACTCAGCCTACAACTTATTACTTAACTTAATGATCGAGTGGAGATAGATCTAGATTCTAGATCTAGATTTAGATCAGACTAGATTAGAAAGTTAGATTGACCACATTCTCTTGTTTATGTAAAATTTAATTAAATCTAAACATTTTACTATTAGATTTTAAATTTAGATCTAGATTCTAGATCTATCATCTAGCTAGATATAGATCTAGACTTTGACAACAATGTTAATAATAGATCTAGGTCTAGATCTAGCTAGATTACTGAACTAGACTCTAGTACTGATTACTCAGTGATTACTGTTTAATATTTTAGAAGTCTATAAGAAGTAGCTTGTAGATAGATGGCTAGAGATAGAGATAGTAGATCTAGATGCAGATGGTAGTATGGTAGGATCTAGATTTCTAGATTAGATCTAGTTTAGGTAAAACCTACCATAGTTAAGTTTAGTAAAGAGCTAGTAAGACTAACCTGTTTTTAATTTTAAATCGATTTTTTTAGATCTAGAATCTAGACTAGATCTACTCTAGCTATTTACTAGAAGCCAGTAGAGTGAGTAGAGTAGTAGTAGAGTGTTGTGTAGAGTACTGTAGACTATTGTTATTGTAGAGTGTAGGTACTAATAACTAGACTTAAACTAGATTAGACTAGAATCCAGATACATTTAGGGCTTATAGACTTATCAGACTACAGTGTTGCAATTAGTAGATCTAGTAATATATAGATTAAATTTAGTTTGAAATTGTTACAGTAGTGCTACTACTTTTCTAAGTAGTAAGTAGTGTAGACTACTAGAAGAGCAAGATGATAGATCTCCATCAAGCTACAATAGAGTCTTGTTAGTAGTAATAGTACCAAAAGCAGTGTAAGTAGCACAGTAAAAAAAGAGTATTACTAGTCCAACTACTATTGTATTAGGCCTTTTATTTTTAGCAAGTTAAAGTTTGGTTAAGTACTAGTCTTCTAGCAAGTTGCCTTGTAGTAAACTTAGAAACTAGATCATGTGTATAAGTACTATTAGACTTGTAGACTAGATTTGTTAGTCTAGACCAGGGACTATAAATTCTACAATTGATAACTTTCGGCCTTTTAGTATAAGCCTAATTATTAATGAATTACATGGTACAAAAATTAATAAATTGGTCAGAGTCAGTACGGTTACAGTTAGCTGTTAATAGAATAAAGTTTTAGATCTATTGACTACAATTTTTAGTTACAAGTAATGAAAATGAAACTAAATTTTTGTAACAGTTAAGATATGGTTAACTCAGATATTTTAGTTTTTAAGACAAGCTAAGTAGATAGAAAACTGAACCTTTACAATAAATGAAACCTTATATCTATCTCTCTCTCTCTCTCTCTCTCTCTCTCTCTCTCTCTCTCTCTCTCTCTCTCTCTCTCTCTCTCTCTCTCTCTCTCTCTCTCTCTCTCTCTCTCTATATATATATATATATATATATATATATATATATATATATATATATATATATATATATATATATATATATATATATATATATATATATATATATAGATATATATATATATATATATATATAGATATATAGATATATAGATATATATATAGATATATATATTAATATCACATATTAGTTAAATAATTACTTTAATATAATATATGGATAAACTTAATAATTTATTATATTTAAATTCTCTAGGTACTTGGCAAGCAATTTTCTCACACTTTACTGTGGCTATTGGTGCTGATCTTGAACTAAAGGTGAGCTGAATTTTTTTATAATAAGCCATTTTTCAGCTTAAGCCCAAGTTTGAAACCGATTCAGTGTTCTAATTCTTAAAGAATATGTTGCTACTAAGATTATTTACTGTAAGTATTAATATGTATGGTTTGATAGTGGGACTGTCAGACAGTAGCTTTCACATTTCTATCCTAAAAGATAAGAGTTCAGATCCCTGGCTTTAGTCCTGGTATGATGTCCTAAGTCTCATGAGTACCAGCTCTCATGAGTACCTGGCTCAAGATAGGGAAACTAAAGGTGGCTGGGTATATACCTCTGAACACTCTAATTTTACATGCAAATGTCACAGAAACAGGTGAATTTTAATTCATCTGCTATATTGCCTGTCTGTTTTAATCAATGATTAATTTTTTCATATTACTGAAAGTTGTTAAAAATATTATTTATTTAATTTCTAGGTAAATGGAACAGCATGGATGTGGATTTTTAGACACAAGGAAGCTGAATTTAACTTTTAATGAAGAATTTAAATGATAATTGTCCATGAAAACTAATATTAATCATATACATTGTAATGCTGTATTGATGCATCTTCTGTTTTAAGTAATTAAAAAACCATCCATTTATGACATTCTTTTCAATTTTAAAACTGTAGTTCTGTTTTGTTATTTGAAAACAATGATGAAAGTATACTGAACTGCCATTGAGATATTTATATAAATGCTATTGTTTATAGTTTAATTCTTTCAGAAGCAACTATATTGACATCAAAACTGAATCTTCATTGTACATTAAGTATAAAAGCTTACCCGCAAACCAGTCCATGTCAATAATTTATTGACATCCAAACATTAAATTTTTTTAAAGGTGATTTTTCTTAAATAAAACAGACTACTTTCATATGGGATAAGAAACATTTAATTTTGAAATTGATTGGTTTATTAAATTTTAATGGAGCTGAAACTAAAACACTGGGTACAAATTTATTATTACTTTGTTTCTCAGAAAATTGCAAATTTTGAACATAAGAACTGTGGGAAGTAGGCAATGATGTTAAAATATCTGTTGAAACTTGAAGAAATTGTGGAAGGTTTAGAGATAGAAAACAACATTTCAGAAGATGATGTTTGAAATAATGGTAAAATATCTTTAGCAATTGTCACTGAATAAATATTTTCATTAGACAAATCACATTTAGGTATAGAAAAATAAGGTACGTCTTCAGAGTTTCTTATCAGCAAAGATCCTAAGTGATTCTCTTTGTTATCATCAGTCAAACGACAAGCCAATTCTGGAAAATTCATTGGGTTCTTTGCCTGGGCAGCTAAATATATTTAAATTAAGTTCATGCAAGGCTTTAGAAACATCAATTCTCTATATAGATTGATATTGAACATACTCTAGTCTACCTGTCTTAAAATAAATAGCCTATTTATTAGGCCTAATTTTAGTAATTAATTCCACTCAACTACACTGTAAAATAAAATAATCTAGATCTAGAATCTAGATCTCAATACTACTCTTGGGTCTATAAATTAAAAATAAATCCTGTATGTCGTATGTTACTGTCTAAGTCGGAATTTTCAAGAGGGCTTTTTCTTTTAAGTCATAGATCTAGATCTAGAATCTATATATAGAATTTTAGATCTAGGCTATATATATATATATATATATATATATATATATATATATATATATATATATATATATAAAATTTAGGCTTGATTTCAGATTGACGATTGAAATCTTTTAGGCCTATAAATCTCATATTTTATATAAATGTATTATTATTATACAGGGTGTATTCTAGATCTATATAAAATATAATATATTTGTGTGTGTGTTATTTTAAACTTAATTTACTTAAATCAACTCATTGTCGGAGTTTTATTCCAAAAGCGAAAGTAGATTTCATAACTTAAAAAAAAAAATAATAAAAATATTCACATTTGGTTTGAAAAACAACAAAAACGCTAGCTGGCAACTACCGGAGCGAGAACTTGGTAAGCTACTTTAACAACTTACAAGCCCAATTGTCGTTACAACCTAATTAAAACATTTTAGTGTAACATTAGGATCCCACATAAAAATATATTTTACAGACACTATGAAACGAAAGATGTGGCGATGAAAAACTTAAACGATTTTTGTTTACGAAACAATGTAAAGTGTAAGAAATACACTAATTATTGTAAATGGTCACCGAAAGATGGCTAAAGGGGCCATGGATTTAATACAATCTAACCTAAATGAAGAACATATACTAAAAAAAATCAATAAAAATTATATTTATAACTAAATAGGTCTAAAAAAAAAGATATCACCATTCAGTTATAAAGTAGTTATAATAATGAGCCTACTAATTAAACAAGTAGGTTGTTTCTCTTCTCACCTCTATAGTAGCATATCTGAGTATATACGATCATATATAAGTCGTCAGGCCCGACAGTCGGTCGGGTGTCACCTGGTAACTAAGGGTATCAACCCCCCTTCCATCTCCTCCTCCCACACCACCCCCACCCCCAAACAAAAAAAAAGTGCATTGTCGGTTTGGTGTCACCCCCTCTCTCCCAACCATTTTTATTAATTGAACTTTTTATAGTAACGTTCCTGAAAGAATTTTCGAGTTGGTGTCATCCGGTACGGGGACCCCACTCACCCTCTCCCCCCCCCCCCCCTTCTGTAACTCATAGCTTCAAACAGGTCTAACAGCACTAATACCATTGACATTATAACATGACGACTCTTGTTTTCAATCCTAGGTCTCCCAGTGACGCAGAGTTTTGTCGGCTGCTTGCGTAACGTGTACGTTGATGACGTGTCTGTCCTGTACGAGCTGTCCCAGGCCAACCCCAAGTGTCGGTACAATGGCGGCAGACAGCCACAGTTCGGGTGTGAGGAGGTCACGGAGATTCCCATCTCGTTCCCGAGGTAAGAGACGCGTAGGTCCAAAATGTACAAAGGCATGTTTTCATATAAAGTACTGTAGGCCCTAACTTACAAAAAAAAAAAAAAAAAAAATTGAGGGGGGGGGGGGCTGTTACTTGTGTTACTTGATGTTATCTCATGTACCGGGTTGTCTCATGTACCGGGTTGCCTGATGTACCGGGTTGTCTCATGTACCGGGGTTGTCTGATGTACCGTTTTGTCTAATGTTGTCTCATGTACCTGGTTGTCTGATGTTGTCTCATGTACCGGGTTTTCTAATGTTGTCTGATGTACTGGGTTGTCTGATGTTGTCTCATGTACCGGGTTGTCTCATGTACCGGGTTGCCTGATGTTGTCTCATGTACCGGGTTGTCTGATGTTGTCTCATGTACCGGGTTGTCTCATGTACCGGGTTGCCTGATGTACCGGGTTGTTGCAGGTCCTCCTCAATGCTGCAATGGATGACGGGAGAGAGAGAACAGAACTTGAGCGTGGAGTTTAAGCTCCGAACGTTCCACAACACGGCCATCGTGCTCTTTGTTGAGCTCATGTCTCGCAAAGAATCGGGAGTCGGCTTTGATTTTGGCACTATTGAGGTGAACTATTTTCTTTTTTATAAGCTCTTACTTGCTTTGCAATGTCTGTCTGTCAGTTTGTCTGTAGGATTGTGTCAAGCCATGTAAATCAATTTTGATAATTTTTTTAGTGCAGTGATTGCATTCGAACTTATCCAGATACATTATTCTCTGAAGACAACGCTAAAATATAAATTACGAGCCGGCCCGCGGCATAACATACGCCGCTATTTAGTTGTTGTTTTTTTTTCTACTTTTCAGTAATTCATAATTTGTGAATTCGACAGTACCAACGCTGACACTGAAAATATTTCTTTAAAACACTATAAGTAGCTCGTTAAGGGCCATACCCCCCCCCCCCCCCCCCCCCCCCAACGTTTAAAATCGTTTCAAACTAAATTATCTGCCCCTAATAGCCGTCACTAAACCCGACTCCACGAAGGTAAACATAGCGTGAACCACAGCTCACTAAGACCATGTAGGGGTGGGGATGGTAGGGAGCGCGTTTACAGCTTGTTTTCTAGCGTCTCCCAGAAGAGAATTATATATATAGATCATTTTTTTTTTGGTTTATCTAAATATTAAATCTGCCATTAACAATTCACGTGAACATGGTCAATAATAAAAGGGGAGATAATAAGATAAATTAGTAGCGAGTTTTACTCGATCAGTCATAAGAGCTGGGGTCACTGATGTTTTGTATCTGAGAACCGGCTAAGGGCAGATAATTTGTGTGTGTGTAAAACAATTGTGTGCGTGTGTTTGCAGGAGGGAGGTGAGTTACCTATTATACATTTTTGGTTATTGTTCATATACGTCTAAGTGTTACAATTTGTGGTTATCATCTAGAAATTGAATCAGAATTTTACCTCCATACCCACCCACTATCGTCATTTGAAATAGCGTAACGAAATAGTTATGTTCAAAGACAATCAATTTCTTGATTGTACATGACGCTAAGAAATACATAGAAAATGCGTCATTTGCCATTCTTCACAATTGTCAACACTCTTCGACCAGTTACTTCCCATTTATAACAGGGATAATACTAAGGGAAACAACTTATAACTACGCTCCCAAAAGTCGATCGAAATAAAAAGAAATTTACCCGCAACAGAACTAATGAGATTTTTTAGTAATTATGTTACTAACAATTAATATTCTTTAAAAATTAAATGAATGCTTTATTAACTTAACACAGTATTGAATTTAGATTAATCATTGGATTTCAGTTTAAATAGAAAACTGTTAACTATACTAAAAGCTAATTGGAAACTTCTCAAAACTCAAATTAAAATGTCTAGTCTATATCAGGGATCGTCAACCGTTTTAGGTGAAAGAGCCAGAAATTATAGGTACATGGAAAGGTAAAGATAACTATCACATAGACATAACAATAACTGACAAACTAAAAATTTATGGAATAACCTATACTAGCGATCCCACAATAAACGACCAAGAAACCTAGACCACACTGAAAAATAAAATAAATCACAATCTGGAAAAATACCAATACTGCAATACAACCATTTTTGCCAGAGCTGCATTAGTAAACAGATATATCATTCCAAAAATAATTTTCGTAGCGACGAACTCTACAATACCCAACTCATTTATTAAAAAAACAAACAAGCACATTAGAGAGTTCATTTTCAAAAATACGATTAGAAACATTAGCCACAAAACCTTAATACAAAATAAATTAAATGGAGGTATAGGGCTACACGACATTCAAACTAAAATAAACACCTTCCGATTAAAACACCTGGATAGAATAAGGATAGAACCACATTATCATCCATTAGCACAATACTACATTGGGTTAAACATAAAGAGCATTTTAAAATTAAACATCATAACACCACACTATGGGGGAAATGACATAGGCAGCTTTTATAAAGAAACGCTAGCAACATTCCAAGGAAACAAAAGCATTATTGGGGAAGACACACAAAAAATATACGACATCCTAATCAAACAACAAGCGACACCCTTATACACGAGAATTAGTTGGGCCAGGGAACACAATATAATAGACATTAAAGATACATTTAGAAACCTACATAATAAACGCATTACACCAAAAGAAAGGGAAATAGCATACAGACTGATTTTTAACACAACTCCAGTTTCACGAAATACAAAGTCAAATCAAAATGTTAAAATAACATGTCAAACGTGTAAACAAAATATACAAGAAACTGAGAAACACATTTATTTAGATTGTATATTAGTACAGAAAACAAAGCAAACACTTGCGAAAATATTAAACACCACCAATCAAACAGCCACAACAAATAAAGCAATCACACTTAATTTAATTAACACGACTAGACAAAGAACAGAAGACGAAAACAGACTAGTAGCAATGGCTATTTATAGATCGACTATATGGCAAATTAGGAATAAAGTCAGATATTTTTTCACAAAATACACGGACATCGAGTTAAAAGAAATATTTCAAGCAAAGCTAAGACATAGACTGGGAACTCTCACTTAACTGAGAAAAAAAAAAGAAATATACAGGAAAGAAATAAATAAAGTATTAATTTTAATTTAGACAGTCTCAAGCCAAACATCACTCGATCAGCCCCCAAGTAAATTAACATTAGAACAGTCTTCTGTTTCCCGGGTTTTAAAATGCACAACCTGAATGGTAGAAAGAGATACCCACCTCAACCCCCCCCCCAACACACACACATTCCCCCCCCCCCCCCCCCCCCCCCCCCACTCAACCAGACTGGCGGACAATTCAAGGTAGCGTGCCTTCATTGCGAAGGGTCAATTTTATGTCATGGAAAGTTTTGGAATGATAGATCAGTACGTGATTACAGAGACCCTTCTCCCACAGTCGTTTCTATTTCTGTCCATGGGTGGCTACAGTGTGAACTGTTGACTCCGCAGCACACTAAACTAAGCAGTGAAGAGAAACCTAGTTTGCACACCTTATTTTATTCTAGTTCTTATGCCATTTTATTTTTTTCCCTTTGATTATTATATATGCAATTGATGTTCATTGTTCATGTCTTTGATGCTATGCAAAATCTATCAAATATATTATTATTACTGATTTAAATGTTTAAAACAATTGAATTAATAAAAATAAAAATAAAAAAAAAATCTACCCCCTCCTCTCTCCCCCTCTATCCACTTTACCCCCAGACATGATAACCCCACAATCCCTTTAACTGTTCCAACGACCCCACCACCCACCGCAACATCAATATCCAGAACTTATTTAAAGTTCTAAATCTTGTCTCTTTCCCCTCATCTTTCACACTGCAACCTTTTGAAAACTCAATGCGACCACTACAACACCCTTTCAACTAGTCAACTTAAGTTGTTTCCCTACATAGAAAATGCTTCACTGTCCCATTGACCCTCTCTGAAAAATTTCCTTTCCTCTCCCCACCCAGACTTCTGACACTTTCATTTGACCTTCACCCCTTTTACTGTCATCCTTTGCAATTTTCTTTTTATAATCAAATACATGACATCATGTAAATATTCATTATGTACATTTGCAAAACCTTTCGTTTTCATTTGGTGTTCAAAATTATGTTTAAAAATTTGATGTTGATGTACTTGTTTTAATTGCAAATAAATAAAAAAAAATTAAAAAAGTCTAGTGACAAAAAATTACAATTTACAAAATCTCCCAGGTTTTAAAGAGCCACTACCAATTTTGTTACAATATTATGGTATTTAATTAGGATTAGGAAAATACTTTTTTTTTCGTTAAAAAAATAAATGTTTTTTCGTTAACGGAAGAGTTTGGTTGGAGATAAGTTTTCATTTTAATTTGAGATTAAGGACACATTTGTAAAGCATAGAAGTCGTCACTCCAGAAATAGTGCAGTAAAATGTGACATTACATTTGTAAACATCACGTTTAAATACGATTAGATAATGGCACTGATTGTCACCCTCCTAACAGAATTCAAGCAGTCTAGATCTATTTCACTATAATGCTTTCATTAAGTTCTATATGTTGAATCTATCACATTTTTTTTCATAACATATTTATTATCTTGCCTTTTATTATTTTGTTATTATTTCTTTGCTTTTTTGTCCCATCAGCTGTGGATAGTGGACAAAATGGCCGTGGTCCAGTTCATCCCATCATCACGTGACACAATGAGCCATGAGAACATCACACAACCCACCATCATCAGTGATGGACAAGTGCATGAAATTATGGTCACTTTGACCAACAGGTAGGCTCAACCCAATAGGGATTAGTACATTAGCTGTTTGTAGCTTTAGCATGGTAGCAGAGGCGTATCCAGGTTTTCGTTGTAGGGGGAGCAAAAAGAGAAAAAAAAGGCGCTGAATTTGTAACACGCTCTATATACGTGTATTATATATATATATATATATATATATATATATATATATATATATATATATATATATATATATATATATATATATATATATATATTTAATTACTAGCTGTATGTCATTACTTTGCTATAATGTAAAATAAATTGAAAGTAGCACTCTGAAGAATAAGCAAAAACACACAATGTAGGCCGACAAAACAAAAATTGTATCAATCTAAAATTATATATATATATATATATATATATATATATATATATATATATATATATATATATATATATATATATATATATATATATATATATATATATATATATATATATATATATATATATATATATATATATATACACTACAACCAAAAACAATGAATGTAACACAAAATGTTTTATAATTCTTGTAAAAAAATTTTATTACATAATAATTCCTGGGAAATTATTTAAGACAATTGAAATAGGGGAAATAATCACTCTTTTAATATCAATATGTATATATCTACACATTTAATTATAAATGTCAAAACAAATAAATAATTACTTTAGAATATAATGAAATTGTTTAACACTATTCGTGTTTACAAAATGTTTTTGTCTATAATCAGAATTTAATATATCGTCATCATAAATGCTAAAAAATTACAGCATAATGAAAGTTTTTAAAATCAGAGTTGGTATAAAACCACGCTTTTCGATATGATAGCAAAACATTCGGAATAACAACTTACATTTAACTAAATATCTGTCTTTAAGTTCAGACCATATATTTTAATTAACTACTGCTTCTTTGTGTTCTTTAAAGATCATTTTTTAACATAGTGATAGGTATGGGTTAGATCACTGTATTGATCACAAACATTTTTACTGGTAATTGCAAAAACAATATTCATAGAGTTTTATGTTTAAAAAGCTATTTTTCTGGCGGCATGGTACTTAGGTACATCTTTACGCGTTTTTCTACATGTACTTAACAGATCAGTTCGGGGTGGGTGGGTGGGTGGTGGTTTAAATGTCCCCACCACTACGCAGTTTGCTCATAAGTAAATTTAAATAGAGGTGCCACATCAGTTGTATTTGTTTCTGTATTGCAATTTTTTAAAAATTAATCACACGATTAAAACTGTATATATAAAGTAATTATGTGTGAAGTTTTATGTATAACATTTTCTAATTCAATTATTCGTAAGCAAATACATTATACAGTTGCTTTAAACTTAACACCCCTCTTGCCAAGTGGTACTACCGTAGAGGTTTTTTAAACATTGCAATGCATCATAATGGTTATTTTAAGAATGGCAAACTGATGCAGCTGTTAATATGTGTTGTAAACGTAGACACTACTAACTAGACTAGTACAATAATGCTTAATTGCTGCATGAAAAGAAATCTTGTGATTTACATAGATGTGCCGACCAAAATTAGTTATTTAACAAATTTCATTGTTTAAAACTTTGAGTTTTAAAAGTTTCCAAAAAGGCGCCACTTTGCTGAAAATGGCCGCTCCCCCTGCTCCCCCCCCCCCCCCTGCGTACGCTACTGCATGGTAGTCAAACTGTTGGGAATGGGAAGATAATAACCAATGGGAGATAACTCCTCATCTTCTCTTAGTATTGGTCAAGAGAAAAATACATATAAAGACTGTATAGAAGAAAAATACAGTATGTCCACTTTTTGTGAAATCAATGTACATTTTTACTTATATTGGCAATAACAGAAAATACCAGACATTTGTGTTAGATATCAGAAAAATATAATGCAAATATATTTTGAGAGTTATACATAATATTAAATTTTTTGCACTATTTTAATATGAGAATGTGATTTATAAACTAATTTTTCTTGAGTTTTAGCTTTTTGGACATACTGCATTTGTTTCTCAGTGCATTCAATATATATTCATATAGATATATAACTTTCAGGGATAGAAATGGAAGGCAGTAGTTAAGTATAAAATATAGATCTATTATTTCTCATCACTTATCAATTTGTTTTGGTTTCATTTGTTTTGCAGCAAAGTAACACTGAAGGTTGATGGGAACTCCATCAGTTCTAGAAGGTACTCAAAGCCATTAGAACACAGAGGCACAATTGTGCTGGGCTACAGTCTAAGGCCAGTAGAGAGTAAGTTCATACAATAGCAGTCTAAGGCCAGTAAGTTCATACAATAGCAGTCTAAGGCCAGTAAGTTCATACAATAGCAGTCTAAGGCCAGTAGAGAGTAAGTTCATACAATAGCAGTCTAAGGCCAGTAGAGAGTAAGTTCACCCAATAGCATTGTCTAAGGCCAGTAGAGAGTAAGTTCATACAATAGCAGTCTAAGGCCAGTAGAGAGTAAGTTCACCCAATAGCATTGTCTAAGGCCAGTAAGTTCACACAATAGCAGGGTCTAAGACCAGTAAGTTCACATAATAGCAGGGTCTAAGACCAGTAGAGAGTAAGTTCACCCAATAGCATTGTCTAAGGCCAGTAAGTTCACACAATAGCAGGGTCTAAGACCAGTAAGTTCACATAATAGCAGGGTCTAAGACCAGTAAGTTCACACAATAGCAGGGTCTAAGGCCAGTAAGTTCACACAATAGCAGGGTCTAAGACCAGTAAGTTCACATAATAGCAGGGTCTAAGACCAGTAAGTTCACACAATAGCAGGGTCTAAGGCCAGTAGAGAGTAAGTTCACACAATAGCAGGGTCTAAGTCCAGTAAGTTCACACAATAGCAGGGTCTAAGGCCAGTAAGTTCACACAATAGCAGGGTCTAAGGCCAGTAAGTTCACACAATAGCAGGGTCTAAAGCCAGTACAGAGTAATTTCATACAATAGCAGTCTAGGGTTAAAAAATTAAAGAAAATAGATACCAAAATTTTGCTAAAATGAACAAAAGTTTTATTTTAAAATGTCATTTTAAAAAACTAGAATAAGAGTTTTTTTTCCTTTTGACAGGAATAAAACAAATGTTTATTAAATCTATCAAATTACCTTAAAACATATCAAATAACAAATTAATAGGCCTACATAGTATCAAATAACTTGTCTTTTCAGGGCAGCATGGTTTTGTTGGCTGCATGCACAGAATTAAAATACAAGGTCAGCGACTAGATCCAATACGCCTGATGTCTTCCTCAGCTGCTATAGGCCTCTTGCTGGATGGGTGAGTTTGTGTTTACATCAACCTAAAGAAAAATCTGCATATTCTTGCACTGGTATAAGCTATTCTCACAATTTTATCCTTGCTATTCTCACATTTATGCAACAGATTATCATATTTTCTGTACATGCTCTCTGGTATATACTAAAGTAAAACTTTAATGTGTTTAGTATAATATATTTACTACATTTCAGTTTTTATTCCTATATCAGGCACAATATGCTTAAATTTGTTAAATAAACTGTTTGTGATCAGAAATTTTTTTCCAACATTGATTCTTTTAGATGTAGAATTAAAAATGAAACAGCTTGATTACAATCAAGATAAATCTTGCAGGTGTCAGTTGACTGACCACTGTTCTAACAACAACATATGTGAACATAACTCTGTATGTCTGTCCGACTGGGATGGCACACACTGCATATGTCCAGGGGACCATTACGTAGGGAAAGCCTGCCATTTCTGTAAGATAACACACATTTTTTGTTTTAAAATATTGCAAAAAAACTATATTTGGATTAAAATTAATATAATGTTGACTAGTAATTAGTAATATTTTTTTAGGAATTTATTTTAAAGTTTAAAAAATACTATTTAAAACTTTAAACTTTGTATCATGTTATTACATTTTAAAATAATTACAAAGTTTTTACACTTACATAAGAGTTTTCATGCCAATATTATTGTGAGTTTTTTTTTTTTTTTTTTTTTTTTTTTTTTTTTAAAAAGCAAAGCATTTTGTTTATTTGTATTGTTTTTTCAAAAAGCAAAGCATTCAATTATTGTTGTAAGTTGATTATTAAAAAAAAACCACAAAAACAAAGCATTCCAATATTATTGTGTGTTAATTTGTTGATTATTTTTTCAAAAAACAAAAGCCAAGCATGCTGCATCATGCGAGGAGTATCACAGAATGGGCTACAGAACCAACGGCGTCTACCTGATCGACGTGGACGGGGCGGGTCCACTGGAACATTCCTACGTCACGTGTGAAATGGACACCAACCAAGTCGGGGGAACAACCATTGTTGAACACAATTTCTTACCCAACACCACTGTCCGTGGATCATGGCTACCTGACATCCAGTATACTTTAAAATACAGGTCATTTTTCTAATCAAGCTTAGCACCATTATTCATTAGTGATTTCATAGCCTAGTAAATCTCTGAATACTGTGGGTGACCACATAAGGTCGGATGCTGATATGTCCTCAATAATATGTTTTGACTTAAGTTGACAGTTTTATTTTATTTTTGCTATGTTAAATTGATAAATATGTATAAAAGTGCAGCCATCTTTGTTTCACCCTGGCTATGCTAATGTATGAAAAACTAAATTACTTACTTAACTGAAGAATTATTAATTAAATAAGAGCCTACACATAATATTTTTACATTACTTTTGTAATTTATGTTTTAGGGAACTGTCCAGGGAGCAGGTAACTACACTGACCAAAATATCTGGTCACTGTGAACAATATATACAATATATTTGCTCAAACTCACCAATAGAGTAAGTATCTAATACTTTTCTATTTCAGTAATCATCCTTTATGTACTTTGTTTAAAGCGTGGTCACAATTTTAAAGTATACATTAATCTTTTTTTTTATTTATAGATAAACAGCTATATTATCCTTCAAGAATAATTAGTAGATCATTTTTAATTAATTTTAATGTAATTGTTCATTTAAATTTTAGTTTAAAAATGTAACCTGATATTAACTTCACATTCACAATGTAATGAATTTTAACTGATAGTAGAACTTTAAAAGCTATGAATTATTTTCAATTTTAAAAAATTGTAAAAAATACATTCCAGTAATCAATTATAATTAATTTTCCAAACAAAATTTAGGCTTACAAAAAAGACGTGGTTCAAATCATCAACTGGCCAGATAGTAGATTACATTGGTGCCCCGTCCTCTGGATACTGTGACTGCCCACCTGGCAAGAGCTGCGGTGGAAAATCTTGCTACTGTGATCTGGGTAAAATTTCAATGCTTTTTTTTTCTAATTTAAAACTGAGTTAATATTTTTCTTCCAATGTAACATAGTTTAAATTTTTCTTCTTATTTACCACTTAGTTATTTATATAATTCATGGGCCGACATAGTTGGGTGGTAGATCGCTGGACTGCTATCCTAAAAGTGTCGAGTTTGGATCTCGGACTTACCAGGTCATCCCTTTATATGTCAATTTAAAAAAAAACTGGACCCCTGATTATTTGTCCTGTGGATCATTAGGTTGGAAAGGAAACTGTACTTATGCATTTTGAAACAATTTATTTAAATTTTTTTTCAATTGCAAATTCTGGGTTTTTTGGGTTTTTTTTGTACTTCAAAGGTATTAATTGTGACAATAGTTCAGTTATCAAGATATCATCACAACAAAAACTTTCATTGCAACCATTTTATTACTTACAGATAAGAAAGATATTACAATAGACAAAGGTTTCAACAAGATCAAGGAGCAGCTTCCTATCATGGAGCTGACATTTATCCAGAACCCGCAAGGCTCAGCTAACATGACCTTAGGACCTTTGAAGTGTTGGGGAAGTGGTAGGTAACCTTCTGTCAGCATATTTAATGTTTGTAAACAAAAAACTTGCAAGGATCTTCTGCTGGGGTAAAGATCTTCAACATAGTGCTAATACATTTTATAAATCCAAATGGACAGATGCAATGCATCCTGTATTACAGTTGTATTTTTTTAATGTGTTATTTTAAAAAAAAAATAATGCAGAAAATAAACAGGAAATTATTTGGGTAGATCTATTAGTTTAAAGCAATTATTTGAGGTTCTTGTAAAATACAGTGCCTCTAGTATAAGTATAGAACCATAACATCATGTTCAGTTTCTGTTTATGTACCATATTTATTTGAACTATTTTTTAAAGACTCAATGCTTGGTTAATGTACTTTTAATCTCATACCAATTAAGTAAAAGCCTTTGTTACAGACAAGTTATATTGGGGAAAAAAGTTATCTTATCCGTATGATATGCTACATGTTTACAGTTTAAAAATCCATTCTGACATCCTAATCACTTTATCCAATTGTTTATCTTTTAAAACTATCCAGATGACCAGCCATTAGAGAGTTCAATAACTATAACAAACAGGGACAGCTATTTACTACAGCATCCATGGACCTCAGGTGATTTAAAACTGAACTTCAAAACACACAAAACAAATGCAATACTGATGTACCAGTCCAGCAAGGAACAGGAGCATCCATACAACCTGGCTAAAGACAAAACTGGCAACATCTTTTATATTAAAATTATATCAGGTTTGTGGCTTCTTCTACTTTAAAATTAAAGTAGGTTTATACTTATTTTGTTCAGTATATTAATAATCTACCTCAAATATAAATGCTAACTAAGCTTAATTAGGCAAGTCTAAGTTTGATCCAATTGTAATGGCTATATATTCTCTTCACCGCACAGGTTAATTAGTATTAATTACTAACATAGCGACTAGCATTTAGATTAAAATAGGATATTTCACAAAAACACAAATTCAAAGAAACATAACTAAATTGTTATTGAAGTTGTATGAAATGTATGTTGTATGTATGGTGCTTGATATATTTTTTTTAATATATTTTTTTTTACATCAATAGATGATAGATGATATTTAAATGGTTTTCAGTTATATTTTTCTATTAATTCATTTTATAAATATAATTTTCAAGTTAATTCATTATAGACTATTCAATTACATGTTTATGTTTTGAAAACTTTAAAATTAAAGTGTTATTTTAACTTCAGAAACTGATGTGAAATTCTTCATGCAACTTGGTGAAAGTAAGATAGAAAAAATTCTGAGATCACCAAAGAAGCTTGACCAAGGAGACTGGCACATGATCAGCATTGAACATGACCGCTACAACGTGAGATTCTATCTGGACTCCACGTCGGCTATTGTTGACGTACCTGAAGGGGTGGAATCTGTCACAAACTTCACTGGCGTATTGTATCTTGGAGGGGTCAACAAAACGTATGTTTATACCACTTTTCTTTGAATTGTTTTACAGTTGAATAGAAGTTACATCTACTGATAAAGGAAAGGTTTCTTTGAATGCTGTATCCTCTAAATTTTTCTTTCTTGTAAATTAAGATATCAAATTGTAAGAATAGTTTTTGAAGCATAGTATATTACCAAATTTAAGTTAAAATTTAATCATTTTGTATACTTTGGTACCAACTGAAATAATTATGTTTAGAATTTAACTAATCTTGTTAAAAAATTAATTTAATGTCAATTAAAACAATTTGTTTCATTATTTTCCATTCAGCAATAACCTTTTGAACTTTTCTACTTTGCAGTATTCTGGAAACAGCTGAAGATTTTACTGGATGTTTGCACGGCTTTGTCTACAACAAGGAGTCAGTTGATCTCACTAAGTTGATTGATGCCAGGTACTAAGTGTTGCTCATTTTCTTTGTGTTTATATCTTTGTAAAGTGAGATCCACATTCTAATTACTATAGAAGTGTTGTGAAGCTTTACTGAGTTTTTAAGTAGAAGTTGCAGGTTGATGTTGTTTTTTAAAAGAATGTAATAGGTTAAATCTTGTAATGTTTTAGTACAAGTGGATTTTTTTCTTATATCAGTTTTAAAAGAATGTAATAGGATAAATCTTGTAAATGTTTTAGTACAAATGGTATTTTTTCTGATATCAATTTTAAAAGAATGTAAAAGTATAAATCTTATGATGTTTTAGTACAAATTTTGTTTTTTCTGTTATGAGTTTTAAAAGAATGTAATAGGATAAATCTTGTAATGTTTCAGTACTAGTGGTGTCACAAAGGGATGCATGTCATACTGCTGGCCCAACCCATGCAAGAATGGAGGAGTTTGTGAAGAGGACTGGTCACACTACAAGTGTACATGCACTGATGCTTGGGCTCATATGGGAGACAACTGTGAAATAGGTGACATATTTTAATTGTGTCCTCAAATTTAACAGTTTAAATAATAAATGGTGATATATTTTTTTAAAGTGCCTAAACAATTTTGTCTGCAGTATTATGAGTTATATAATGATTCAGTTTCACAACTACAATTTTTTGTCTGCAATATAATGATTTCTATTTGCACTTTACATGCTTTATTCTTTTGTAAGGTTTATCTGTAATAAATAAACTATAGCCTAGGATCTTTCTAGCCTTAACATTAAAAATTATCTTCAAAGTATTATTCACGCTGTACATACAATAAAAAAAAAGTATTATTGTAACAAGAATTTTATTAAATTTTGCAGTACCTACAATAAAAAAAAGTATTATTGTAACAAGAATTGTATTAAATTTTAGATCCCCTAAATCACCGGGAGTGAAAAAAAAAAAGTATTAACCTCATAAACCTCAAGAAATCGTAAAGACCTACTTTAATATTAATACTAGATATAAAAGTAACACACATAATAAGACATATAAAAAGTATCACTAATAAATAATGTAAATGTACTTGAAACTTAAAAAATAAGTATTAACCTCAAAATGTTGCCAAATTTTTTTTTTTATTTATGCCAAAAGTTTAATACAAAATATAATAAAAATGTAATTTCTTCCTGCCAGACTTGAATAAGGATTCAGTCACATTCAGTGGGCTGCCAAATTCCTTTCTCTTTTTTGACGTCTCTGACAAGCCCTCAGTTCTGGTAGATACAATTGTGTTGAGTTTCCGTACATGGATTACAAATGTGGTGCTCTTTTATGCCCATGACCAGATGGGCAACTTTGTGTTGCTGGAGTTGGTTGAGAACAATGTCATTAAGGTCAGCTTCAACAATTTTTACCAGATTGTGGAGGATACTGTCTCTACACAAGGTAATTATTCAAAGTAACAAACTGTAGATTTTCTGTATTTCCTTCACAAAATATTCATTTTATGATTTAGATTTACATCTTAGTATTTTTCTTTTTTATTTTAATAAAAAGTTTAAGAAAGGTATATATTTAAAACATGTTATTCTGAGATACAGTTGAAATACCTGAACTGGATTAATTGTAGTTATTTTTTTTACTATGTCAAAAATGTAGCTGACGTGCTTTTAGAACTAGTTACATTAAAACAGCTTCAAAAATAAAATAAAACTATTGTTTTGAAAGCAAGTTTTTGTTTGTGGACAATAAGCAAGCAAAAAAATAGCTTCAGTTAACCTTAGCCAATCTGTATTTTTTATTACATAAAATTGTCTGTTGACAGAGCCTTTGAATGATGGCCAATGGAAGCAAGTTGTTGTAGAAAATGTTCACAGCTACACTCGACTGATAGTTGAAGGCCAGTCAAAATTCATTGAAATGAAGAGAGGCCGCATTTCAATCTACAGATCAAAGCCATTCAAAAATGCTTTAAATGAGGGTAAATACACACAGCTTTTTATATCCTACTGTTTCAGCTATAAATTTATTAATATCTAACCAGGTAAATGTTATATCTAAATGAAAGATAACTATCTATTAATGCTTCAAATTATTTTTTTCAGTACATGTATATTGGAGTTACCCATTGGAAGAGCCACCAGCTTTTGTACATGCATACGTTGGAGGTTTGCCAAGTGACGTCAGTTTCTTGAAGCCAATTGAAGGGTGCATTAGAGGGATGCGTGTGGGAGATCATGTGTTTTCATTATCAGAACAGGCAACAGCATTGGATAATGACACGTGTATGTTTTTGGATCAAAAGTTTATAGTATTAAATTTCTTGTGTTTATTTCACACATTTATAGAAGTTTCATTTAAATAAATCTTTAAAAAGTAGCTACTCATTTAGACCCAGCCATCCATGGGATAGATGAAGTAGAGCTCACCTGTTTTTGTGCATTTGAAGGGATAGTGTGGTCAGTACTATGCAGAGATTTTTCCAGGCATCTCTTCGGGGGAGCCCCGTCTGGAAGAAACACTGGTACTATGATTTGTTATTTTTTTACAGTGGTTGCACTCTCCTGTGAAAGAGGCTGTGAAGTGAACACTTGTCTGCATAAAGGAATTTGCAAGGAAAAATGGAGGAATAAAAATTTTGAATGCAACTGTGCAGATAGCGGCTTCACTGGCTTTAGATGTGAAAAAGGTTTGTAAGCAAGTTTGGTATGAAGTCAACAGACCTAGCTATTGTGGATACACTTGTAGACTCTTGACAGTCTATGAATGCAGTTCTTATGTCAAAATAAATTCCTATTAAACTTACCAACAGAATCATAAAATGGGTTGTCTTGAGAGTTGGATGCTAATAATAATTTCAACTTTTACACAAAATGTTCTAATGTTTTTTTAAACACTTCAAATTTAATGAAAAATAATTAGGCCTTTAAATTTTCTTTATGTAAATCTTATCAATTAAATAGATTGTAAAAATCCTATCCTAAATAGAAGCCATGTTGTTAAGTTTTTATTGTGAAACATTTTAATTCCATTTGTTATTTCTTGCCCAATTATTTCAAATAAGGAAAAATTTTATTTATTTATTATGTTACAATCATAGTTGTTGATTGATATATTATTATATTGATATTGATAGTTTTAATCTCAATTTAAATTAAATTTCTCATTTTTTTGTCAGAGCCTTCAATTTTAGTGAAAGGCAATACAGTGGTACGTCATGTACTCGATCTTGGCCCCATGGAAGAGTACAGTGTGAGTGAAACTTTGTCATTCCGCTTTAAGTATGACAACCAGCACAAAAACAGTTACAGCCTTGGTAAAGAAACAGTGTTGGCTTACATTGCCAGCTCAAAGTAAGTGGAAAATAAATGTCACTATTTTTAAAAATTCAATTGTATTTATTCTGTATTTTTCATTTAACTGTATAAACTAATTTACACCTTAAAATATTTGTCGTTTTTAGTTTTAAAGATTACATTCTCATCACACTGGATAATCTGGGGAATTTAAAAATGGAAACCAATCAAGGCTCAGGAGTTTGTAAGTAATTTTTTTTTTAATCTCAAATCCTAAACGGCAACATTTTGTATTAATTTTTTTTTAATTAGTTCACTACGCAATATGATTCCTATTTAATTTTATGTAAAGGAATTGAAGTTTTATAAAATAAATCTAAAAATTTGGATTGCATTTTATAAAATTGCATAAAGTGCTGAGAATTATTTAGCAAAAGTAAAAATAGATCTATTTTGGATATAGTTAATTTAATTGTTTCATGGTATATAAGGTTTGAAAATTACCATTTGGGTGTTTGTGTTATTTTACTGATAAAGAGAAAAGGGTTACATGTAGCATAAATATGTTTTTAAAATTTGATTTTTTTTAACTAAATATTATATTTCTAAATATGATATTTTTATTTTTTACCAAATACTCTGCTTTCCACATCCCAGATAAAATGAAACTAACTGGTGACTTTAAAGATGGCAGAGCTCATGACTTTTCATACAGCAGAAAAACACCAAACATTAATTTGCAAGTGAGTTACACTTGAATGTCTTTATATCAAATTTTTAAACATATTTTGATTTGCAGCCATCAATGTTTCTTGAGCAGGCATTCTAGCAGCAATCGCTTATTATCTATTGGATCAAACCAAAGTTCAGTTTCTCCCACTCATTTGTTTGCATAAATATGAACATTTCTTTCTTTTCATAGCTATGCATTTTCTTCTGATATCCACCATCAATATAAATCCCCTACATACCTCTGTCCCATTACCTAAATAGAGCTCTAAACATCAAAACACAACAAAAACATTTGATTGATAACACTTCATTTTCATTTTGATGAAGAGGTTGTGGCCTTAAATTTTTCAACAACATTTTTTAGCTTGTTATTTTGAGTATTCTTTATAAATCTGCAGTACATCATTTTTTTAAAATAACATCTATTTCTGGAAACTTTTTGTATCAATACAGTTTGGCATTATGTTGTTATTAAAATGTTTGACAAATATTTGAAAAGGAAATTTTTAGGTTAACTTTTTGTAGGACTTCACCTATAATACCTAAAGGCCTATAAACAATAGTTTGATTAGTGATTTGTATTTTAGAGCTCATAGTATAATTGTTAGAAAATTGTTTTTTAACCATCAGTTTATTTTATTTAAATAATTAAGGGGGGAAAAAAATTTAGGTCATTTCCACGAGGTTCATACATTAAAAACAACATTTATTTAAAGCTATTTTAATAATGATCTGTTTTTATGTATAGTGCATTCATAATACAACTATTTAAGATTTTTAATTAAATTTTTTCAATAATTAACTTTTACATTGTAATGATTTAAAAACTATGCCTGCAAGCTTAGTCTGAAAACATTCAAGACTGATGCATGGCAATCTTTGCATGGCAATGTAACAGTGTAACACTGTTGTGTTACTGTTGTTAATTAATGCTAATCTGAATGACAAAAAAGTAATAAATAATAAATAACATACATTAACTGTAACATACAATAAACACGTTATTGTGAGCTTATTTATTTTTTTAGGAAAAAAATCACATTTTTGTTTTATTTTAAATTATCTTTATTTGCGTTATTCTGTGTTCAAATTGCTGTTGTTGCTTTAAATTTTAAAGACAGTTTCACAAGGTAGAAGTTAAAAAAATTGTTTTATCACAAGACATGGCATTTTCTTCTCACAATATCAAAAAGTGCTGGAATTCATTTTATAAGTAGATCTATATCAAAGCCAAACTTTTCAAATAAAATTTGAAAATCAGAATCATGTCAGTAAAAGATTAAAAGATAAAACTAATCAGAATCATTTTAGTAAAGGATTAAAAGAAAAACTATCTTTTACAGACAAACCAATATATCATAAAGTTAACTATTAAGATATTATTAAACAAAACATATGAACAGCATTTACACAACTGTAAAGGGAAAAATTAAATGAATTGTAAATCTGTACCTCAGAACATGCAGCCCATCAGTGTGGTGGTTTTACAGGTCAAACCTCTTGACCCTTTTGGAAATGTCATTGTAAGTACTGCCGTTCTATATGAAGCCATGTCCGTATTTGATGCCACTATTTTAATCCAGCACTCTCATTTTTATGCTTTAGCTATACATATGCATTTCTTCTTACTATTTTGCTTCAGAATCCTTCTATGCAAAATGTTTGCTTTTAGCATGTAGAACATGTCTTACTATTAGAAATAATTTGTGGGTATTATCTAGTATATTTTTAGTGGTGAACAAATGTTAAAATAATTATTATTTATTTGAACTTGATTTTAATTTTTTTTTTATTTTTAAAGATATGAAAAAATATTTTATTATTTGAAGTCCAAATAGAGTTTTTTTTTATTTTTAAAAATATGAAAAAATATTTTATTATTTGAAGACCAAATAGAGTTTATCTATTTGTACTTTAATGCAACTTTTTTTGCATGTTATTAAGCTCATCTCTTGATTTTGAACAGCCAAACAGATTTTAATATTCCACCTAATTGTTTACTCATTCATAAAATTATTTTAAAACAAGTTCAAAGTTTTTATGAATATGCTACAGCAGCTTTATATATTGCATTTGTCTGCTTGGTCAACACATTTTAATGCTCTTGGTATTTGTAATTGCCATCTTCAAGCTATTGAATACATGTATTTTAACCCTCCATCATCTGTCATTCACAATCCTGATTCATTTTGTTGTGGAAGTTGATCATCTTTTTGTTAATCTTGGCAACTTGTCATTTTTATGTGAAGACATTTACACAAAATGATACACAGACTGAAATAACATCCCAGACATTTTCTTTAATCTTAGTTTGTAGAATAACATACTTTGCTTGTAGGAAATGAGACTGATTCTAAGTAGTTATTCAAATAACAACTTTAATTATGCTTAAAAACACTAATTTGAATTAGTGGTAGAACATATTTTGCTTGTTATTAATTTTGCTTTAATCCAAAGTTTCTTTTAACAAATCATGCATAATTACTACGTGTAAATGAGAAACATTTGTGGATATATATTTAGTCAATCAAAATAAGGATTTGTCTTTTGTCACAACAATAATTTTAGACTGAGAAGAGATTTAGCATTTTGACTTAAAGTTGAGCTGCTTCTTTTACATAATAGAAGATTTACATCTTCAACATACCTACATTTCTAATAATTTCACACACATAATTTTATGAAATTTTTAACACCATTTTTAATGTAATGCAGGCCCAATGTGTATCCAGCAAATCATCATAAATATATCTTTATTTATTTTATTTCTCATATTTTGTATTGAGAAGTGTATTAGTATTAATTACAGGCTAGGCATACCCTTTATTTTGAAATTATCATTGATCATTATTCATTATAGGAATTTAGTCTTGTTGCAGTGAAATGTTATGACATAGTTATCTGTATTTGTTTAGATTCAATCACAAAGAGAAATAACCCCATTTGCATGAGAATAAAAAAAATGAGAAAAAAAAGTTATGTAATTTAGGCATTTTTGAAATAACACTTGTCTAGTTAAGTATGACTAATACAGTAGGAAATTAGAAAATAGACTTACTAAAAAATGCTTAAACCATTATAGTACAAAAATAGTACAAAATAATAAATAAAGTATCTTGATATAACTAAAATTGAATAAATGAATCTTTAGTTATTAGAATCATTAAGCATTTTACTTACAATTTTATATTACAAAACTAAATGTGCATTTAACTTTTTTAAAAAAACCTAATAAAGAACCGTAACTCTCTGCATTGAACAAATAAAACATTAACTAATTAACATTAAATACATGATTTTTTGTATGTAGAAAATTAATTTTGTGATTGTAACAATTCAATTTTATTTATACAGGTGGATGGAACAGTGGAGACTATGAATAATTATCCAGCATATCCATTAAATAACTTAAATGCTATTTACATTGGAGGATATATAATGGATGCTATAAAATTTTCTAATGTAGCTAACTTCTCTGGATGTATTTCCAGTAAGTTTTTGACATGTGGACATTTATTTTTAAATATATACCATTAATTAATAAGCATTGCACTTTTAAGAACTGTTATATTATACAGGAAAGTGTTTTGTGTATTATTATGGCACATATTGTGTTTTATTACTTACTAAAATGCCACTATGATATCCTCCCCTAAAATTATATTATTTTAATTAAAAACATTTTTGTGGGTAATTTAATTGTATTGTTCTCAATATATTACTTTTGATAACTTTTTAGTTTAGATCAAAACTAGAATCTATTAATAGTATTAATGAAAATTCCTGATCATAAATTGCTTTTTGTCCCTGCATTCTCTTTAATGTGTATGAAACATAACTAATTTATTCATACAATTACTTGGCAATGTAAAGCCCATAAAACCATTTCTTAAAGACAGTAATTCATGTCTTTAAAAAAAGTAAAAGATTTATTTTAATCCAAATTTCCTGTTTTCTTACTAAACAGACACAGTTTTCAAACCCAAGGATTCGAGCCTGCTGATGTTCTACACCCTGCGAGATCTGTACATCAATGTATCTAACATAGATGTTCTAGGGGAGGCAACTACCACTTGCTCAACTAGTGAGTTAGAGGAGACAACTACCAGGTACAGCACTTCAGTGTCCAAGGTTACACCTGGGACTTACAAGGCAAGTTTGGTTCATTTTATGCTACAGTACTTTACTTATACAATATGTAGGGATGAATGGTTGATCTTGTAATTGTTATTGGCCACCTCTGAGGCTAACCAGTTCACTCATCTGTGTCTTGCTGGTCAACAAGGTCGGGTCAGTAAAGCTCATGGTTACTACACCATGTAATTGCTGTAGGCCACCTCTGAGCCTACTCAGCTGATATGGGTACCTGAATTGAGTTAGAGCAGCTAGCCATAAACCAAAAAAATTCTACTTTGAATTCTCCCGTCTGAACTGCATTTCAAATTTTAACTTAAAGTTTTATTCCTTAAATGTTAAGCTATGATCATCACTGAATTGCTATTTGTATTTGTATTCATGTTTGGGATATATTCATCTGTGTCTTGTGGATTGGCATGGTTGGATCAGTAAAGCTCATGATTGCTAAACCAAAAAAGTCCCTAGTTCAAACCCCTGGGTAGATGAGGCTTAATAGCTAGGGACAGCAACCCATCTAGGAAAGAAAACACCAAAATCAAACAACTGCTGCCTTGTAGTTCTTGTAGTTTTATGCTGTGGAAGAAAATCCAGAAAGAAAAGCAGGCTGAAATTGGAGAACGGCCTGTTTGGTGCATAACAATTTGCCATGTAATACTTAATTGTGTTGAAGGAAATCCCCTCCAGCATTACAAATAAAAATGAAGATGAAGAAGAAGATCTGTGTCTTATAATCCACTCAGCCTCTCACAATGCCACCGTGGTTAAACAGTGAGATTGTGGTGAAGCCACTCGGGCCCATCCCCAACCAAGGCAGTCCACCAACAACGCCTCTGTTTACAACAACGCTGTCCAGCAACTCTAGGAATGAAACAGTCCCTATCTATCAATCCAAAGACAAGGACCCTGTAGATGACATTACAATTAGTAAGTACAGTTTTATTTCCATTTTTCAATCCTTTCAGTGTTCTTCTTCATATATTTCATTATTTTTTAAATTCACTCAATTTACTAATAGGTACATGATGGTCAATGTGTGCTTCTGTTTCTGGATATTATGGATTAAATCTTGCTCATTTAACAATTTCTCTTTGTTTTCTTCAAATGGTGTCTAACTTAGTTTTATAACTGTTAGATTTATCACAGTTTGGTTAACAAAAATTTATGTTAATTTGTAGGTTGTATTAAAGTATGATTCTACTAGGATAATATAAAATAAATGATTTTAAAGTAGTCTGAAAAAAAAAATTAATGCAACAGAGAGTCTGCCCATAAATGTGAGGTGGAGGTGGGGCGATTGGACTTTGTGATGATTTTGATGAGTTGGAGAGTTGAGAATATGTGATGAGCAACCCTTAACCTGAAAACTAGATTATATAAAATTAGAAATAATTCACTTACAAATTATGTACCATTTTTTAAAAAACATTCACAAACAATTTTTATGCATTCATTCATGTTATGTTTACTGTTCCAGTTATTGTGGTTTCCATCATCGCGGCACTGCTGATCATCACCTTATGCGTGGCCTTGATCCTAGTCAGGAAGCGCAAGCAGCGCGGCGACTACCTGGTCAAGAATGAAGGTGATGCTGACATGGAGCTCAAACAGCCCCTGAACCACAACAACCATTCCTCACCCTACTCCCAGCCCCCCAAGTTCCCCTCCCACACCCTGCCCAGGTCAGGCAACAGAACCAATCCTAGTTTTGAGATGACCAACAGCCCTGTACCTGCAGATCATTTAGCCAAGCTGGATGAGTTTAGTATGATCACTGCTATATTGGGGCCCAGAGGTAGGAGCATCTTGTTTTCAAACACAGCTTAGGTTAGAAATATAGTGCAATATTATTAAAATCAGGTTTTAAAATTTGAGATTAAGGAATTTTTATAAATCTGTTTTATTTGAAAAATTGTAATTTACTCTTCGAAGTTTTATTTCTTGAAATAATTTCCTGTTTGTGTACAGAAATCTACCATATCTACAGATATTTTTAATCCCATTTTCTAATAGATCTATATCAGTTAAAATATCTTTGAATTTCTAATTATGTTGGTTTATCACTTATATGTATAGCTACATAAAGACTGATTTTCTATCCATAAATATATTTTTTTTCTTAAAATTGGATTTTATGATCCTTGTTTAATAGTAACCATTTGACCATTTTACAGCACCAAAAGCTGACACATTACCTGCAGATCTCTCTAAAAAGAGATACAATCAAGGAAGCTATGTGAGTTGTCCTCAAATATATAAAAATAAATAAAATTTTATTTATACCTTGCATGGAGCTTAAGTTTTAAACAAAATATACAGTTTGGTTAACCCTAAAGATACTGTTCAAATTTTTAGCAACTAAGAGGTATGAACATTATACATTATTTAGTTCAGAAGATAGGAGAATGTATTTTTCATTAAATTACTTTGTTCACTTTTGGCTAGCCTCTTATGGATGATGAGAAAGAATACATTAGCCCTATATTCAATGCTCGAAAGCAGAGACCAGCTTCATCTATCTCAGAGGTACTTGAAGAGCTAGAGAGAAGGCAGTTTCCCTTTCAGAATGGTGAGTATGTCAGAGTGAATTGTAGAGAAACAGAAATAGAATCTTTGAACACAGAAGACCAGGAACCTTTCTTCCAATATTCTTTTGACAATTAACCATTAAGATTAAGTGGAAACATTTTTTTCATTTTTTCTTCATCTTGTATTATTTTTAGCTGTATTAATACAAATCTACCTACCATCTAATATAATTGAATATTTGTACATTGGTATACTCATGGCTGTTTTACTTTTAGTTTTAAAGCACTGAAAAGAGAGGGAAAAAAAATTTGTCTTTGAAAAAAAATAGATGCATTTTCTCAGTACTTTTGATTCTATTTAAATTAAATCTTTTAATATATTGAAATACTGTTATTCAAACCTAAAACCAAATTTTGAAAAAGAAGCCATCCATTTGTTACTTATTTAATTAATAATAGTTTAACCAACTGAATAAATTTTAAATATTAAAAAATTGATTTGAAGACCAGCTTCAATTGTGTATCTTTATTCTAATACCTGCCATGAAGGATCTCCAGATGATATGATAAGGAGAAGCCATGGGGAAGGGGACTTGGAATGGGATCCACAAGCTGATACTACAAGTCCCATTAGACACGTAAGCGTTTCAATTGTTTCTCCAAAAGGTTTGCTTTCTGTTTTTTTAACCTGTTTTCTGAGACTTTTCAAAGCATTTGTGAAGTAGAAAGTTGAAGTCATTTGAGTATTCTTCAGGCTTGTTGTCTACCTATCCTTATTTCATCATGTATGTTACTATAGTAGTTAGTACTCTTATTGAAATGACCAAAAATGTATCAATTAGAATTAATTTTTCAGTTTTATGTGTAATTTAAACTCTTAATCAAAGTATTATTTTGTTTATTAGTTGCTCATTCAAAAAGCAAAAAAAAAATGCAATTATGCTAATTAAATTGTATATTCTTTTAATTCAGCGTAAAAAAGATTTTAAAATTTTTAAAAACGATTTCAACCTAATGAATGCTTTCACTTGCAGTGTAGCTAAACTTTCCACTACTGTTTTCAAATGTGTGAAATACATGTGCTGTATAATTGTTATGCTTTCTTTGTTTTATTATATATTATAAAGAAAATTGTTTTGATTTTAATGTTGAAGGATAGCTAACTTGAAATCAAGATAAGTAGGCCTATATTTCCCTCAAAACAAAACTACATATTAAATTATAGAAACTGTAGAAACATTTTAAATACTGTTTTGTTTCTTAGTATTTTTTCTAATCTCAAGTATTTTAAGTTTTTTAACAAATAAACTTTTCTGCCAATTTTATAAAATGGGCTGTGGAAAATAAGAGCTGGAACAATTTTTTGTCTTGTTTGAATTTTTTAAATGACTGGCTCCAGTTGTATTGGAAAGAATAAAAATTTCAAATTTAATTTACTGGATAATTGTCAATTTAAACTATTAATTTGTTTAACTTTATAAATCTCTGGACAAAATGTACTCAGATTAATATTACCCAATCTTTAACCATAGTTTGGTTTTATAGCAATAATGAACACCTGTGGTTAATTCTTGTATAAGCTATTCAAGGCCATTCAAAGATTTTAAATAGATGCTATAATTTAATACCATTTTTGAAGTGTCATTTTGGCTCAAGATGTATGAAAACTAGTTTGTTTATTCTGTTGAATCCACAGCCCTACTTTTGACAGGACTTTTACTCTTTAAGTTTGTTGAAAGTTTTTTTTCAATGAATTAAAATCAAAATTATTTTTTTACTAATTTGCACAAATATGAATATTGTTTTGCATTCTAAAATTTTGAATATTAATTTTAAATAATATTGTGTTCTAAAATTTTTGTTGTTTTTATGGTTTTATCATTAACCTTAGCACATAGGATATTGTTTTTTTTTTATGTTCACCTCAAACTGAATGAGCTTTCAAATTACAAAATTGCCTGTTGGTAGTTGAAATACATTTTATTTCATTAAAATTATAATTTCCTGCTACCCTTTGCTTGATTTATTTTCATGGCTTTAGGAAGACATCCTATTTTTTAATACCGGTACACCTTTATTGCCCATTCCTGATGAGCTGGAGGAGTCCAGATTGAGCAGCTTTTCTGGTCACCCATCCAGCTTTGGTGGTGACAGTTACCAGGTTTGTCCTCAACCAATGTTTACTGGTCTAATCCTCCCCTATTCCTTTACATTAAAAATCACAACTTAAGTAATACTTAATGTGCTATTACAAAAAGCACATAGAAAATAAATTTTAAATTATTAAGCAAAATAATTCATTGTTAGGTTATGTAAAAATAAATTCTGGATGTTTTTGATTAGTTTTAAAAGCATAAATAGTAGTTTTATCAATACATTCAATTCAATAAATACAACTGTCTTACTTAATAGCTGCTGAAAGACTAAGTATTAAGTATATCCTAATTTTCTGTAGTTTCTTTTCCAATAAATGTCATGAACTTAATGTCAATTTTTCTGTTTGTGCTATTATCCTACAAACCTTTTGTCAGAATTGTTTAAAATAATAAAACAGTAAATGTTGAATGAATTACCATATGTATTATACATTGTTTTAAATATTAGTTTGATTAGAAGACCCACTTTTCCAGTAAAATAATAACACCTACACTTTGGAAGAGTAAATGCTTTTCAAAATATTTATGCTTATTATGTTTAATTTTAAAAATTATTTTGAAGTTATAAAATCTATTTTACATTATAATTCTTCCTTTTAAATGTTGCATTATAGTCAACCTTATGCCACATCTAGGGAATATTTATTTTATAAATATATTTCCAGACCTATTAATTTTTTCAAAATTCCCTTTTATTTAGTAAGCTTTATTATTAACAGTGTATGCTATTTTTACATTTATTATTTACATTTAGGATAGACACAATAAAGACCTTTATTATAACCTTTAGTATTTGTTGCATTTTCACAGCTTTTGGCATGCACTTTTGCCTGAATTTAAGTGTTAATTTGTATTCTAGACTAATTTTTTAAAAATAATTTTATTCTTTTGTCTTGGGGAAACCGCACTTCACTCAAAAGTAATTAGATTTGTTTCAAACGATTTTTCAGAAAGCAGACACATATGAAGGGTCCAATTCCCCACCCTGGTCCAGTCACATGACCAGCGGTGCTGAATGCAATGGAGACTCAGGTTACGAGGCCGAGTCCAGACCTGAGGTGACGGAGGACGACATCACCCCTGAAACGCTGGGCGATGACGACTACGACACCCACCACCATAAACTGTTCTCGTTTCACGTTCCAGACATCCACCCAGACAGCTCACCCAACATGTCGGAGCTGAGCGCCAGAGAGAGGCTGCTGCGGGATGGCACCGAGGTGTGACCCAGCCCGCACGACACCGAGGTGTGACCCAGCCCGCACGACTCCGAGGTGTGACCCAGCCCGCACGACTCAAGTATTAGTAGCTTTAAATAATTCCATGAAGAGTTACAATTTTAAAGTATCTGTGTTTGCTTCAAACATTTCTGGACATGCTCCGTGATTGTGGCAAAGGTATTCATACTCCCCATTGCTACCTCTACAATACGAGTGCAATGGCTTCTTAGCTTATTTACAGCATTTGCACAGACTTACTTTTGGCGATATCGGAATGCTTTCAGCATTTAATCTCCATGAACAAGGACAATGTGTTAATATAAAATAATCAAGACAAACTGATACACTCAACATAAATAAATACTATTATAATACTAATATAATACTAAATAATACTTAGAAACCTAAAGTTGGTTAGTGTATTTATAATTGAGCATTTTGAAAATTAAAAACCGTAAAATAAAAAGCATTTCTAATAAGCTTTTTTTTCTTTACAGTATTGTATATGTATGTTACATAGTTAATAAAATAATTGTATTATTGCTACTGGTATGTTAAGATTTATAATTTATAAATTACTGAATGTATTGAAATTTATCATTCATTAGACAATTTATTTCAATTTAAAATACTGTGTTTATGTGCAATAAATTGTTTCACCTATACAGTCAGAACGTCTACCTAACAATGTTTAAAATTAAAGTTTATAACAGCCAAATTTATTTTTTAGTCTTACAGTATTAGTTCTATATTCAAAGTACATGTATTCTAATATAAATACATACTTGAGAGGTCTGTAAAGATAACTAGTGTTACTTTTTTTCTTATATAAATATAAGTGTAGTGAGATCACAACGCTCATGATATTGAGTTAAGAACATCTATGTGGAATTCCTCCCTCCTTCCCTCCCCTCCCACCATGGATCACCATTGTTGCTTTAAAGCTGTGCACAACTTCAGCTGTTTATAAGTGCCCTGAATGAACTGACCATTTTTTTATTTTTTGTCTATGTAAATGATCTGGCTACAAATTCACATGTGTAAACAAAAATTGTTATTTATTTGTAACAAATCTTGATTTCTTCTATTGTATGAGATGCTGTGTTTGACATTAGAATGAAGTTACTGCTAGCCTGTTTAATTATGCCTGACTACTTAATGGCCATGCCTTTCCTAAGATGTTTTGTGCATTTATTATTTTTCTATTGAATGCTATGTACACCTTTTTTATATACAATTATTTAAATATTGTGAGTATAGTCTGTAAAAAGTAATTTTGCATAAGACAATAACTTTTTTTTTTACAGTTTTTATTAATTTGAAATATTAATTTCTTAAACTAATCTATAACAGTGTAGTCTAAAAAGGTTATTATTAGTTACTTTAAACTAAATAAAAATATCTGATTTTAGTGCCCTATAGTAGGAAGAGAAAAAAATGTGTTAAATTGAATCAAAGATTCAGACACCCAATTACTTAATTACTTTACCAAAGCTTTTGTTTGAGTGTATTTTTAATATTTATTATTTTTATGATCCTGTTTCCATCTGCTGTATAAATGTTCAGATTGTGCATATGCAAAGATCATCTGTAAAAACACATCTTGACATCAAAAACTATTCATGGAAATGGTTGTATTACTTCATTAATGTAATGAAAAAGTTGTTTTCATTTAAATAAGTATTACAAACTTTATTTGCATTTTACTGAATTCCATTTTAATTTATCTACCATGTACCTGTAGTAAATTGCTTTTATAGAATTTACATTATAATGATATATTAGGAGTGTTAATTTACGACAAAATTGTCTTGTTTTGTAAATGGCCGCCATCTGTTATATTTTTACTCTTTTTTTTAAATAGAACTTTACAAAGTACAAAACAAGAAAATTAACTTTTTATATGATTGTAGTTATTTAAAAATAATAAGCAAAATTTATTCTTCTAACTTTTGAATACAATTTTTGTTTTTTATAAAAACTGTTTTTGCGACTCAAGTACTTATCACTACATTATTCCAGTCAGGTTGCTGTTAACTTCAAATAAAACATCGCATTTTTTTTTCATTAAAGTTGAAGTGTAAAGCTAGTTTTTTCTCTTTGAAGTGATAATGATTATACGAGGCTAAAACAAATGCCATTGTAATTGATAAAATGAAAGAAGGGAAACTATCTAGTCACTTTTAATTGTTTTTACCTGCCATTTCTTGTAGTTTTTTTCTAAGATTTTTAACTTACAGATAATTTAAATGATAATGAGAGAATGTACTTATACAGACGCAATGCCTATCCATATAATTCCATTATGTGAATATGTTTTTATTAATTATTCCTTAAAATTTGTTGAAATTAATTCTCCATCAAAATCAATCATTATAATTATTTATTAATTTTGTGCTATTTAATTATTTTATTAACTTTTTTTATTTGAAATTGATCTAAATGGCTTAATCTATTTCTTTTCTCTCCCCCCTCTTACTCAAAATAATTTTGTAAACAATAATTTTAAGCCAAATTTTTAATTATTTTTTTTGTTTTAACAAAGAATTACTATATTCCTTTTCAGTAACTTATACTTAAGCTAAATCTATTGGTTTATTTCAAAAATGTGTTCCATAAGATTCATTCTTAAAATAACAAAAACAAGGCAATCAAGCATTACTTACTAATGTCAAATAATCTAATCATGTGTTCTAATCCACACAACTGAATATGTGGGTTAAATTATTTAATTTTTTTTAAACTGCTGATTGCAAGTTTCTGCTTGCCAATGGCAATGGGGAAAAAATCACCTCAAAATAAGTGTTAGGATTAAGAAAGTTTTATAAAATTTAGTAACAAATTTTCTTCACAAAATTATCCATTAGCATTCGATTTACTTTGTATCAAAGATTAGCTTAGGTAGCTGTTAAAATGATTTTATAATTGAAATTAGTTTTTTTTAAAGTCAAAGTCAACTGAGTTTGATTTGAGGAATGTACACATACAAGTTGAACCATTATAATTGCTATATAAAACATTTTAACTATGAGCTGGTGTTTATAAAACAAATGTAATTTGCTTTACTTTACTTGTTATTTTATAAGTTAATGTAAACGTTTCCTTTTGCTGTACAATTTATTTTGTAAAAAATATATTAAAAGATGAACTTGTTATTTTTGTTTTCACCTTGTTTTAAAATTATTTGATTTTATTTAATAATTTTAAAGTTGCTCATTCATTAAAATATCAAGGCTATATTTTTTTTCTGATTTTTAAAAAAGCTACTATTTGCAATTTATATGGCAGATGTTGCTAGATAATTATAGGCTTCAGCAAATGAAGATTTATAGTACTAATCACAGTAAGTTTAAAAGAAAAATTATGTTCCAGTATTATAAAAGCAGGAAAAAAAGAGCAAAGAAAAGTAAATGTAATGAAATCTAAAAAATTTCAAATGTGTATACAATTTATTTTATAACAGTACAGTAAATTAAAGTATCACAAAATAAAATTTCTTTGATTAAAAAAATCACCCGGCTTACATGCAAATGGCAGTACATAACAAACACATCTAGTGCACTGTGTTTGCATCAAAACAAAAATTACCCTTGCAATAACAGATTCTCATTTCAGTTTCATTCAAATAATTTCATTAGCTGACATTAATAAAATAATTTTTTAAATATACTTTATAACATGAATTAAGTGGGGATGCTACATGTGGGAAAGGTAAATGAATATCTGATTAATGCCAATACCAAAATGAAAACATGCAAAATTTAAGTACGGCAAGACTTTGAACTCACCAGTGGTAATCCTGGACTTGGTAAATAATTTAAATGGCTACAGCACAAGTATTGTAAAAACAATTATTGTGGCAATAAGAAATTATGATCATTAGCGATGAAAAACATTTTTGGCAACAGGAAACTGATCATAACAAAAAATAATTGTGACAACAAGGTATTTGGATGACAATGTAGGTAATGAAAAAACAATTGTGGCAACAAGGTACTGCGATCACAACATAAGTAGTGAATAAAAATTGTTGACATGATACTGAAATCACAATATGAGCAAAGGCAACATGAAATTAGCACAACAAGCAGAAAAAACATTTTGGAAATTGGGATGGAAATGTAAGCAGTGAAAACACAATACATGCTGCAGTAAGAAGTGATAACAAATTATTTTCTGGCCTAACATTACAACAAATTTTCTTTTTAGGGCCTATATCCCAGGTCAAATATAACAGCAAATTATTCTCCATATATCTCAAGACTAACATCACAACAAATTCTCTGTATATCCCAGGTCTAACTAACAACAAATTATTCTTTATACATCTCAGGAATAACATTACATTCTCAACACAGGATAGTCTTGGCTGACAGGTTGTCTGTAAGCTTTGCATATAGACAGGCACTCTGACAAAACCTGAAGAGTTGTAAAATAAAATGTAAAGATTTGTAAAGATCCAATGAAAAAAAAATGATTCCAGTTTTTGCTTCCAAAGTAAATAATTTTGATAAATAATATTAAAAATTCTGAATATTCTTGAAAAAAAAAGGTGTTGCGGCAAATTATTATATTTAATAGATAAAAGTTGAATGTTTTTCGCACAGAAATAATAGAGTAAAATCATGACAAGAGGTGAAATTTAACAACAATAACACACGTCATGAAATAATAAATCCCAATTAAATCTTTAAACAACTGTGATATTACACAGAATACTAACCCACAAATGCATTAAACAACTCCAAATGTATTTAGATAGTAATCAAGCTTTCACAAACAAGTTCAATAATTTGATTACCTTACGAGTTTCCTGTGGTAAAATAATGCCATCATTTAGAATCCTCGTGGCCCCAAATATGGCTGATGATTCTCTGTGATGTTTCTCGACTAATTTCTCAAACTCTTCTTTCTGTTTGAACTCATCTGACTGAATTACACATTTCGACTATATCATATGTTTTCACCTTGGATATACAACATGATAAACAAGAAAATAAAAAAGCTTAATCCACTTACTTCCTCTGCCACTGCCCTGGCCAGCTTTGTTGGCTCCATTGTGGCCACTCTTGCATTTGGCCAAGCAAATAAAAAGTTTGGACTAACAGCACGGCCTCCCTACGAATTCATATTAAAAAACAAATAGTTAAAGGCTCAATTTTTAAATTGTATCCATATGAAAAGAAAACTAAACTAAACTCTAAACTAAAAAGATCTTTAAGTTAGATTAGCACTTTTGCGTTCACCCTTTTTAAAGAAGAAAAAAAAACAATCAAATATCTTTTTAATGAGAAACATCAATGATTATACCATTATATAATGCTCATGGCCAAATCCATTCCCCACAATGACTGTAATTTTTGGGACTGAAGCACAGCTCACAGTTGCCAGCATTCGAGCTTGTGATTTCAAAGATACACTGTTGACAATAGCTAGAAGAAATACATTTACAGGCTTTTAATTGCAAGACAGAACATTCCTACTATCAAGCTTTTTGAATATTTCATACAGTGCCTACAAACTAAAGGCTGCTAGGCTTATGTAGGCTCAACTAAAGAGAGCTGCCCAAAACAGAGTCTAGTGGAAAAACGTAGCTGTAGGCCTTTGCTCCTGAGTCAACAAATGATGACACATTCACCCACCACTATTGAACATGCCATAAGGTTTTGAACATGCCATAAGGTTGGCTGGTTAAACTTTTTAAATTATTTTAAATATTAATCAAACTGGGTTAACAATGTTTATAGTTGAATATTTGATATTTTCAAAAATTTTAAATGGTTAACTAAAATTTCAAAATACTTGCATACATTTTAAAAAATGAAATTTTCTTAGATTTAAGTTCTAGCTAGATGTCTAAATGCAAACCAAAAAAAAACCACTTATCAATTACAAACTAACTATAAAAACAGTACAGGCTTAACATACCTGTCTCTTTAGTATTTGACTGTGAAAGGCTACTCTCACTTGTGTTTTGTAAAAACACCAAAGGGATGTCTCTCTGGCAGCATAGTTGAACAAAGTGAGCTCCCTTGGATGCTTCTCTTTCCATTATCTCTCCTTGACTGGCTATTATTCCCACAAGATGGCTGTTGTGATTATATTGAATTTAAACTTTTGACTTACTGATTTAAGAAATATTTTTTCCACATCTTTAAAGCTATATAATGTAATATGATTTTTTTTTAAAGTGTCATTCATAAAATTGACGAAACAAAAAAAGAATTTATAGATACCCTTTTATGTGAGCAAAGCCAGTCAGCATTGACGTGCCAAACATACTTTTAAATTCATGAAATCTGCTACCATCAACAATACGTGCAATTATCTGCAACATAGAGTACCTTATTTAAATCAAACTTGAAAATCTATTTTTTTAAAGTATTTTAATTAAAGAGAAACAATTATGTAATTAATTGTTGTAATATTCTGACCTTATTTCAGAAATCAAAAAATGTATTTTTAATATTATATTTTAAAAGTGCATGCATCAAAATATTTCTTATTTAATTAAAGGTTATCTACCCTGTTTTATACAATAATTACTTTGTACATATCAATCTTATGGTGATTGTGGGGTGCGGGAATAATTCCTGGAAGCTCTTCAACATCAAAAAGAGGCTCATCATACTTATGTGAATCAAGTGCGTCATTGCATGTAACATTTAGACTAGCAACAATATCCCGACCAAGGCGTAATGCATCAGCTTCATTTTCAGCAAAATAATCAGTGCATCCACTTGTACTGTGAACATATAAAATACTGGATTAATAATTTTCAAAAGTTTTTTATTTTTTACATATATACAGCTCAGTAGCATAGCGAGGGGGGGAAGGGGACATATGTCCCCGGGTGTCGACCTTAAGGGGTGCCAAAATGGGTTGGAAAAATAAATTGAAAGGTTGGGAGGGGGGGTGCATATAGAAAGTTTGAGGGGGGTGCAAATCAAAATCTTGAAGGGGGGGGGGTGCAAATCGAAAGTTTGAGGGGGGGGGGTGTGCAAATCTTGAGGGGGGGTGCAAGTCGAAAAGTTTGTCCCCGGGCGCCGGGAAGGGTCGCTACGCCTCTGATACAGCTCACCTCAAAGGTTTCTCAAATGTTACAAATTACCAATTTGAAAAAAGTCTAAAAATTTGCAAACAAAGAATGTAAAAAATGCAAGCTCAACAAAATCCTTACCCACAATGCAATGTAGCACCACCCAAATCCTCAGCAGAAACAATCTCCCCCAGTGCTGCCTGCACCAAGGGTGGGCCGCCCAAGAAAATGGTCCCTGTCTTGTGTACGATCACTGCCTCGTCTGCCATGGTTGGAATGTAGGCACCTCCAGCTGTGCAGCTACCACAGACGATGGCAATCTGAGGGATTTTGGCTGCCGACATGACAGCTTCATTATAAAAGGCTCTGCCACCGAGGTTAAAGATCTCAGACTAGAAAAGAAAAAGTTTTAAAAAAGCTTGAGTAATAAAATGCAAAGGAATAAGTGGGTTTTTTTTAATAACAGTTAATGTTCTGTTATTTTAGAAGGAAATAACACTTCATTGTATAATAAATAGTATTTGTGAATTACAAAGAAAAGTTGTATATTAGCTTCATATATGTCATGTCTAGAAGGCTTATATTCTTGTTTAAGACAGTTTTTTTTCTCTTTATTCTGAACAAAATGATACACTGTAATTTAAACTCAGCAATAGTCTGACTTAAAACTTTATCAAAAGGATGATAACTTTTAACAAACATTTGACAAATTTTAAATATACCTGTAGAGGAAGAAAGGCACCAGCAGAATCTACAAGATAAATACAAGGCAGACGGTTCTGTTCTGCAATTTCTTGAGCTCTAAGTTGCTTTTTAAGAGTTACTGGATAAATGGAGCCACCTTTGAAAGCCCCATCATTAGCCAACACTAAGCAGTATCTTCCCATGACTTTACCTATTGCTGAAAATTTTTGAAAACCAATTAGTTATAAAGAAAGCTCAGTTAATGCTATTAAAATGCTGATCAACTTAATATAAAATAATAACTCAAAGGATAGTCCATAGAAAATGCCACACTCCTAGGGGAGAGGGAATTCAGAAAATGTGACAGCACAATTCACATTTTTAAAAGTAATGTTTGAAAAATTGTGTAAATTGTAATAAAAATTGATTGATAAACTAAGTTACTCAATGTTGACTTAGTTCAGTAACTGTTTATTAATGTGATCGCTTGTTGAAAATTAAGTATAATCTTCATATTTATGGCAACATCAGTGTACAAACTTGATTTTTTTTTTTAGTACCTGACCAAGCTAAAACAAAATGCAGAAAAAAATATTCTTTATTCCAAAAGCCTTACTACCTGTCAAAGCATTTGCACGTGGAATATGTCCATATTCCATTCCAATGCCACCAATAAGAGATAGTTCAAGGTACTCATCATCAAACAAGGATTTTAATCTGTCTGTTATCACCATTTTTCCATGTCGTTTTACATGTCTTTCAATTGATTTTTCACCTCCACCTGCGAGAGAAATACTGACAGCCTGCTGGTATATTTCAACTGTTTTTTCAAATCTGTTGATATTTTTGGAAAATTCCTCTGATGTTTTATCAATATGTGCTTTCTCTTTAATTACTTTAAATGGAATTTCTGAACATGTTGATAAATATCTATATGCATAGACAGTTGTCTTAGTTTGAAATCTACAAAGATGGTGATTTCCATTCCATAGTCCTGTAGCAAAAATATTTGATGCATTGATTTTGACTTTGTTGTACAATTTTTGAAAATTACTGCAGGATGAAAATGGAACACTCTTGGTAAACTGCAAGGTATGTTTGACTGAAGTGTATAAACTGTTGTAAGTTTGGTAGGACTTAACAGTTACAGCTGGTAGTTGTGTCATTCTCAATCTCATCATTCTGCTGGTTCAGTACTGTTGGCATTCAAGATAGATGATAAAAGTATTAAAAGCACCTAAAATTCTTGCCAAGCATGGGTGTGAGTGTGTGTGGTATTGTTGCTGCTATTCTATTTATAAATTTTAGAATATTTTTTTAAATGTATTAAAATACATGCATTTTCAATAAGTGCAAGACGACCAATTAAATTGTTAAACCTACACTTTAAACTAGATCTATAACCTAGATAGATCTAGATTATAATATGCATGTTATGGACTTTTTAGATCTACGACTGCTATACAAAGCAATAGGAGTGGCACTTGGAATTTGGACACAAACAGTACTTAGCAGTTTAAAAACAATTTACGGTGTTAAGTAAAACTTTTCATATATGATGGAAATACCTAGACTTTATCTTCTGTAGTTCTAATCTAATATTAAGATGATGATGACTGAAGATATTCAGTTTAAAAGCTAAAACTAAAGAATAAGCCAAATCTAGTTCTTAATTTCGTAACGTATTTAATAGAAGTTTAGGCTAATACTTTTTAATTTAGGCATACGGTACTAACTTTACACCGCCGAAAATTATTTTTACGGAAGTCACATGACATGTAGGAAAGTAAACAAAAACAAAAAGGAAAGATTAAACACTGAAAATTTTTTCCTAGGCTTCATCAAAATGTCTTTAGTGTATCACTAAAAATCAATTTTTAGTCTTGATTGTTTGATCTACACTGGTACATTCCTAGAAACGTTTAATTCCTATGGAAGTTAACATTTACCAAGCTGCACAATGCATTCCTTTGTGCAGAACAGAGGTGGGTCAAACTAACACTCGAGTCACTAGTAGACACTAGGTCTAGAAGAGAAGTGACTAGACTAACGGTAACGGACAGTGAGAGTCTAAATAAAAATAAAAAAATTTAAATACTGAAATAAAATATTAAAAATAGGCCTAAAAATTTTATTTTTTTTAAATTATGTCATACTATACTCTAACTATTACTACATAGTACATACATAATACTATTACTATACATTTTTTACCGGGAACCGGGTGGTCTTGTTGTTCAATGTTCATTGACTGAGTTAAATATAAAACTATTAATTAACTCAAAAAATAGTACGGGCAGGGCATAGATCGATATAGATCTTTATAATTATATAGTAGATTGTAGAGCCCATACTATATTTCATTATTAAATGAATATAATTAAGGTGAACTATTTTTTTTAAAGTTTGACATTTATATTTAGATTTCTATAATCTAGCTGTCCTGGCGGGGCCCTGCACTGTCCTCTGTAAAAAACCTATTTCTAAAGACTAAAGCCATTAAAGGACTGTGACTTGTGTGTTTATTAAGCAGTATACCGAGCATTGCCCGGGTTTAGGAAATATATTACACAATGGCGATTAAGTTTTTTTTTACTATATGCATGTCTTTTACAAATATACATACTGAGGTACAGAGTCTATTTGAGATTTATATATTATATAGGCCTATTACATTATAATTAGGGCATACATCCATAATATATATATATGATTAATATATGCCTATTTATTATAATATTGTGTTAAACTGTTATCCTAGGCTTTGAGCTTGGACTATTAGAAAGATCTATAATTTAAATAGTAAATAGATGAAGGGACTTAATTATGAAATTAAACAAAGTTGTAACATTTTCTATTCCTAGCTTTTCACTGATGTTTGTAGACGAGTCTATGGGGATGTAAGTCAAGTCTGGGCATTACCAGGACATATTCTAATAACCACAGACAATGGCAGGAAACTCTTCACATTTGATTGCAAGCCTTTGTCATATCAGAATGTAAGCTACCAACATAATATAATATTTTGTTATTAATTTGAAGATAAAGATAAATTTTCAGTGGCACTTATAGATAGAAAGTTATTTTAAAAGCATCTTACTAGGTATTTTACCTCCTGAAAGTGATATTAGATGCTAGTTATAAACCTCAGGTTTTCTTTGGCTTCTTTTCTTTAACTGGTTTCCAATGATTCAAACTACCATTTATATATCAGATACACCACCAAAAAAATGTCAGCATGGTAACCTAGATAACTTATTTTTCAACCATCAGAAATGATGTATAAATTAGATTATAAGTTTTAATCCATGAAATAGATACAGCATCCTTATGGGAAAATTGTCTGATTAGAAGCTTCATAAAATAAACACAAATGAAATGCAAGTAACATCATTTACCTTAGTGTTAAACATCATGTCATATTTTAGTATTCATTTTATTTACAGATGTCAAACATTGGATGCCTGGATATATCACATCTAAGATCTTCCCTAGTTGATGTCTTTATGGTGTCTGTGGATACAGTAGCTCTGGTATAGTGTTTATATTGTAGATCATAGTCTCTGTTTATAACTTAATGATATCAGAACATCTAGCAATAGAGTGTGCTAAGGCCTGGTTTGGTGTGGCAAACTGAAGGTCTATTTACTTTCTCACAGTTCTAGATTACTTTAGGTCATTTCTAAGGCTCAAGTCTGTCTGAGTAGGTCCAACTGTACTGGGGACCTAATTAGACAGGATAAAAGAGACTCAGCATTATATGGCCACACATAACTTTATATGGTCAAAAAAGTGTATTCTTATTTCATTATTTATTTCACAATTAACAGCATAATTATGGAGTCTAGGAAATTAGCTTGGACAATTTAAGTACAATTGAGTACAATAAAAAAAACAGCCAGAAAAATCTTTTGGAAAACTTTGTTTTTTAATCATCTGTATAATTCTGTTTAGGTGGACTCAGCAGGTCAAATGAAATTCTGGCGGTTTGGTGCAGACTTTAGCTGGTCCCTGGTTGGTAATCTAAGCCTTAGCACCTCAGGCAATACAGAGGTTATTAGTGTAGCATACCTCTCCACACTCAGGTGCTTGCTGTGGTGTGAAAAATCTTCACCTACTTCTGCAGTGACTACATACTGTATATGTAAGAGGCAGTTACCTCGAGGTATTAACCAGTAAAATTTTATCTACAAAAAGAAAATTAACAAATAAATTATTTTTTTGGGTCAATTTTAACTAAAGCACTGCTACTCTAGAAGCTGTAGTAAAAGCTAATGAATAATAAATAATGGGCAAAATTTCAAATAAATAAAACACTATTCTTACATGGACTTAAGTTTTTTCCAAATATGTTTTATGCTTATCACATAGATGCTAGCCCTCATTATTAAAACCTCATATTTACTAATATAAATTAAAAACGTTCTGTAAGGTGTTTATAAACATCTTATAGAAAGTATCAGTTTAAAAATCAGCGCTTTCATTTCAGGTGACGTCTGTTTGTATTGATATATTATTTCTCAACAACTTTTTTTAAAAACTCATCAGGATTTGAACATCATGCAGAGACTGATCAAAGCACAAGGGAAATAATTTTGTCTAATTGCCCCCCTTGTGAAATGTTGACCATGTCTAATGATGTAGTTTTCATCAGAAATAAGTAAGTTTTCATTGTTTTTAGACATTTGTTTTTGGCTGTTGATTAGGTAAAAATCTGGGAATTTAAGAATACAAAAGCAGCATTTTAACAAGAATATTGTAGCCAGACTTACATAATTGTTTTGAATTTTTAAACTAATTTTTTACTACTCTTATTTGTCAGGTTTGTTCCTGAGCATGTGTCAGTGCATATGATGTATGACTTCCAGAGCCAATTGATTGTCTTTTATATTGGCAATGAGTCCATAAGTTTCCCTGCTGTACCAGCTATTGATTTTCAAGAAACCATGTTAATATGTGTGTCATACTTAGCTAAGGTAAGAACATTTGAGCAATGTAAAGGGTACAACTGTTTGTCCTTTTAATTTTTATACTTCTTAAATCGTACATTTAAAGAAAAAGAAGTAAGTTTTATATATTTTTGTTTTCATTTTCTACCTTTCTCTGTGGCTAACATTTGTTCTCATACATATTCCATTAACTGCTTGATCAGACTAAACTGTGACCAGAAAGATGTGCAACAGAAAATTGCAAACTAAAAAGTGTGCATGGGCATATTTTTTTTTCTAAAATCGAACATTTATAGACACTGGCAAAAAAAAAACCCACATGCACATTGTAACATTATAAAAAACTTTTCCACGAAATATGATGAAATTAAAGTGTATTAGTATAATTAGTTTGTATGTGCACATTTTTCTGTTTGCAGTTTTCCTTTTGCACATTTTTCTGTGAACCGACTAAACACATCCCTGGTTTGTTGTTGCTTGCATTCGCGTAATAATAACTTTTCTTTGAGTTTACTAACATCATTGCAACTGTATGATCCGAGATGTTGACATTGTTCATAAGCATCGTTAGCACAAATTAATATCAAAATGTAATTTTTATATATTTTTATTTTTTTAGGCTGACCCAGGTCAAGGTAATCTTGGTGTAAGGGCAGATAATTCAAGAGGAGAGGTTGCAGTATTACATTCTGGAGGTCAACTAGAATACTACACTTGTTTCACAGGCTAGTCATCTTTAACAAGATACTTTTTTATTTTAATATAAATAAGACACCAAAGCACAAGAAACAAATACATTTTAAAATTACATTGCATTGAATAACAAATGACTGATCTTTCTTTTTCCTTTTTCAGATACTGGTAAAAAGAAAATGTCAAAGAAGAGCACAATTTTAAAGTCATTAATATGCGAAGATTCAAATTTAAAATCTTCTGATTGGTTTCTACACAAGGGGCATGTAGGAGTATTTGTTCAAGGAACAGTTCAGTAAGTTGGTGGGAATATTACAAAAGCATTTTTTTTTCTTTTCAAATATATTTTTAATGTAAGCCTACTCCTGCTGTACTGTAAAACAACAAACAATAGTTACCTACCTTACTGTGGCTATGTTTGGTTTTCAATTAACTTTTATGATCCGCCATTAAATTTTTATACTTTGAGTATTTAAAAAAAATTGGTTTACAAACTCAAGTTAATATACATTAAAGTTGATCTAATTGTATCCCTAGGATGAAATACATACAATGTTTTAAATGACTTTCACATTAAAGAAAATACTTTTGAATTTTTAGTATTTTCAGGTTGCAAGACTTTAGCCTTGTTTGCGTGACAAAACTTTTTACAACATGCAACATTTACCAGGTGATCCCTAGCACATCTCCAGCATACTTTGCTTGGATTTTAACTCATGAACAAATGTTTGGGTTGCAGGTACACACCGTTTGATCTAAATTGTTTGGTTCTTCATTTATATACATATTGATGTTTAGTTCAACATCCATATATTTGTTGTTATGTTGGCTTCATCATTGAAATATCTGCAGTGAAGTTTTTTTTTTAAACTTAAATATATACTTTGCATGTAAAATTAGCTTGCTCTATTTTGTAAAATTTTATCAGCTATATCCTTAATAATGCAAAGTAACTATGTGCCTTGTTAAGCTTAATAAAAATGTTCACTGTGTTTTCTTTAAACCTACTAGGGAAAAGATACCAAGGGGAAAGAAATGTTTAACTCTGCTGACAAGTTGCCTGATGATCACCTGCTACAAACTGACGTGCTACGTATTGCCCATCTACAAGAGGTTGGTCATTATTTCAATTGTCTTGCTCTTCAATGTTCTGTGGGATTGGGGGGTTGGAGGGTAGAGTGCTAACCCAAAAGTCTTGAGTTTGTATCCTGAGCTATAGTAGACCTACTAACGAAGTCACTAAGTCCCATCTGTGAAGGGTACCTCGCTCACGTTAGGGAAAGGCAGCTTGGCATAGAGCTAGCATAGTATTGCTTTATATACCGAGGTCACAGAAATAGATTAATTTCCATTGTCCTAAAAGTTAACTTGTATGATAACTCTTGTATGTGCTGTCCTTAAAAGGTAACTTGTATGTGCTGTCCTAAAATGGTAACTCTTGTATGTGCTTGTCAAGGGTGAAAGGCCATTTATTAAAATCTGAATGTAATTGAAATAAACCGGGAGTGATCTCCCCTAAACTTTCTCGAATATTCTTATATAAAACAACAGGGGATGGGAACTCGGGATATAGATCTAGTTATGATTTTTAATCCATTTTAAATACTTAAACTTTTTAAAATTTAATAGAATCTCATAGAAAAAAGTATTGCGCACCAAGCGAACGCTGATTAAAGATGTTCATAATGGTGCGCAATATTATTAGTACTTAATAAATTTAGATGCATTTTTGAGAAATCGGAAATAGCGTAAATTAGTACTTCCCGTCAACGGAAATTACTCAAAATGTAACAGAAGGTAGAGAATTAGATCTTTTACTTACAGGTGAAATTTCATTTATCTATCTGAAATAGTACTCAAGTTATAGGCTTTTGAAAAATTCAAAGTAGAAAAAGTACCACTTCCGGTTATCGGAAATCGCTCAAAAGTTGATATGGATCTACAATTTTGATAAAATACTTATATATGAAATTTCATCAACCTAGCTGTAAGGGTACTCAAGTTATCGTGTTTACACACACACACACAGACACACAGACACACAGACATACGGACAAGATTGCAAAATTATGTTTTTCCGTATCAGTGAGGTGTAAAACGTCGAGATTTGTAAAAATCTCGATTTTTTTTTTTTTTGCACGATTACAATACTTTCTCTATACTACGTATATACGAGAAAGTAAAAAGATATCATTAGCCACCATAATTTGTTACCTATGATCTAGGAGAGGCTGGAAAACTTTGATTATAACACAAATCAACAACTGGAAAAATTAAAGAAACAATACACTGATGGCAAGAATGTTCAACCTCATTCACAAATTTCACAAACCATTGGTCAGTGCTTATTCCATTTGTATTTTAACTTCACCATCAATGTCATTCTACTTCTTTCAAAATTATATCAAGTATGTATAATTGTAATTTTTAATTCAATAAAGTTTCTGTAAAAATTAGATTTGGTTTAACTTGTATTACTGTGATTAAACAACTGCTTTCACTTATCAACTTCATATTTATTTTTTATGTATTTTAATTTTGCATGTAAGATGGCTTCTTTTAATTGTTAAATATTCAAATTTAATTTTCATTGTGTCAACATTTCTACTTACAGTTCCTTATCTTGAAGAATATTGGCGTTTGGAGAGTCTGTTAAAAGTTCTCATAGAATCAAAAATGGTAGGTCATATTGTTTCATAACCACCATGCCTAAACTTTGTTGTTAGATTTAATTTTGGTTTTTAGATTGGTCCAAATAGTTGGTATTTATATAATTTGCAGTATATACTTATTTTTAAATATTAATTAAATGACCGTTACATTGCTATTTACATTCTTGTAAATGTAAACATTTTTCTATACAGGTTGTCATGAAAGGGGAAGAAAATGTTGGCGAGTCCATGGTCTCTAGTTTGATGGAGATGCGTAGTTTGTCCAAGTCTTCACAGCATGCTAAAATGCTTTGGCTTTCACAGGTTTATCCTGAAGAGCTCTTGAACTATTTGTGTAAAGGGATCACTATAGACTGTAGTAAGTCAGTATGTCGTTAGCCTAGAATTAGAGATTTTACACTTTTTGCTTTGTTTTTTACTTTAAAAAAAAATAATTGCTTGGTTAAGCAATAAGGGGGTTGTGCTTAATTGACATCTTCCCCCAAGAGATTTGTAAGCAGTGATTTGTAATGGTGAATATGGGCTTCAAAAGTTGTGACATCACACTTTCGCATTTAAAATAATATTTTTATAACATTTAGTCTTTTTTTTTTACATTTTTTTTTGTAAATTGATTAAGAATTTATTAATATACAAAATAATGAAACAGCTTAGTTTATATATTTAAAAAAGATAATTATTTCAAGAAATTACAGTTTTATGGGTGGGAATAAGGCTGACATGTGACATCATTTACAGGAGGATCAAATGGAGGATATAAAAATCATTTTTAAAAAAACTTTATGTCAAGGATGGATAACCACAATAATCTTTTCAAAAAAGTTCTAAATAGGGATTAAATTTCAAAACTAGTAGACAAAGTTAAAATATTTACTCCATGGACTTGTAAAATTTATTTCCAGTTGTAGTTGACCAGATGGAAATTCCGAGGTGGCAGGCAGTTCTTGGAATTGAAAGCAGCGATCTGATGAGTTTTGAGATTATCTGTCGTTTGTTGTTTCAACTCCACCCTGATAAGCTAGTAAGTGTTAGTTTAACTAGGACCACACAACTAGACCCAAAAGGGAATACAAGTTTCTAACCCATAAACTAATTTTGTCCAGATATGTAGTTTTTATTTACAACAGTCAAATTTTTCAAATAATAAAGTTGTTATACTTTTTTTGTTGCAATTCTAAAAATCAACAACATCTTGACAGTTTTGTGGATAGAAGAGTAACCGGTACATTATAACTTAAAATTTTCTATTATAAAACCTTTCATTTATTTAAAGATTTCATTAGATTTGATTGATCTATCTTTGTTCCTTGTAGCTGAACTTTGTTAAATGTGCAGAATCTGTTAGTGAACATTCTGTTGGTGTCTCAGCTTTTGTCCGCAAGAAACATACAGTAGGTATTATTCTAGTCTTATCTGTTTTATTCTAGTATTGTCTGTATAATTCCTGTCTTGTTTATATAATTCTTGTTTTGAGTTACATGAGTTAGGCTGATGTATAGGGCTGAGGTATAATCAACACAAAATGCTAATATTTGTTTACTTGTGTGAAATGATGTGTTGACTGAAGTACAAGCAGCCTGGGGAAAAAAATTTGTGTTAAATGTTTATAAAACTCACTACTTTTTTACAGTTTTTTTTACTACTGTACTGTAGAAAATAATACATTAAAAAACTCTATAATAGGAAGCTTTTAAATTTAAATAGCCCCAAGAATTAAAATAAATGTACTTAGTTATAATATTAAAAGCAATTGTCACTAAAATATTTTGCAAAGATTTCTTGGGCAAACATTGTTTTTACCAATTTTTTAAAAATTAATCTAAAAGTTTGATTTGTTTAATTCATTTTGATTTATTTTACTGAATGAAATGAACTTCAGTCATGTATGACTCTTCCTCAGCTGATCTATTACAAAACTGCCTGCAACTGTCTTCCTGATTGTGTAGCATCAAGTAACCCTAAGATGGCAGCCCTGGTCAAGTCTAAACTCATTCTTGCTAGGTATCATCTGGTAGTTCACACTCATTCTTGCTAGGTATCATCTGGTAGTTCACTCATTCTTGCTAGGTATCATCTGGTAGTTCACACTCATTCTTGCTAGGTATCATCTGGTAGTTCACACTCATTCTTGTTAGGTATCATCTGGTAGTTCACACTCATTCTTGCTAGGTATCATGTGGTAGTTCACACTCATTCTTGCTAGGTATCATCTGGTAGTTCACACTCATTCTTGCTAGTTATCATCTGGTAGTTCACACTCATTCTTGCTAGGTATCATCTGGTAGTTCACACTCATTCTTGCTAGGTATCATCTGGTAGTTCACACTCATTCTTGCTAGGTATCATCTGGTAGTTCACACTCATTCTTGCTAGGTATCATGTGCTTGTTCACACTCATTCTTGCTAGGTATCATCTGGTAGTTCACACTCATTCTTGCTAGGTATCATCTGGTAGTTCACACTCATTCTTGCTAGGTATCATCTGGTAGTTCACACTCATTCTTGCTAGGTATCATCTGGTAGTTCACACTCATTCTTGCTAGGTATCATCTGGTAGTTCACACTCATTCTTGCTAGGTATCATGTGCTTGTTCACACTCATTCTTGCTAGGTATCATCTTGTAGTTCACACTCATTCTTGCTAGGTATCATCTGGTAGTTCACACTCATTCTTGCTAGTTGTCAACAGTAGTGTAGGCAGGGGCAGAGGCGTAGCGAGGGGGGGGGGGCGGGGGTAATGGGTTGGAAAAACAAATTAAAATGTCATTTTAGCTGCATTTTTGCATTATAAATAGTTTGGGGGGGAGGGTGCAAATGGAAAGTTTGTCCCCGGGCGCTGGGAAGGGCCACTATGCCCCTGGGCCGGGGAGTCACCTATGGACCCCCTGTCTGTCATTGTTAGTTTTGTCAAGTTGTACATTAGGAGGGGAAATTTAAAACTCTCTAAAAAGAATAGCATCAGCATTTTATTGATACGCAACTTAATTAGTTAATTTTTCTTCAAGTTATCAGTTTAGTATTATTCTCAACATTTTAAAATTAAAACTCTGCATTCTTAACCATTTTTAAAAAAAACCTACTTGTTTCCAGTGAAGTAAGTAATTGTGTAGAGAAGGCATTGAAGTACCTACTTCAGCATGAGCTTTGGTCTGTTTCAGTGAAGTAAGTAATTGTGTAGAGAAAGCATTGAAGTACCTACTTCAGCATGAGCTTTGGTCTGTTTCAGTGAAGTAAGTAATTGTGTAGAGAAAGCATTGAAGTACCTACTTCAGCATGAGCTTTGGTCTGTTTCAGTGAAGTAAGTAATTGTGTAGAGAAGGCATTGAAGTACCTACTTCAGCATGAGCTTTGGTCTGAGGCTGTTGAGCTGGTTAAAAACGAGGCCTCAAATGTTGAGAAATTGCCATCATACTTACATATAACAACTACAGCACTAGCCCAGGTGAGACTTTATTTTACTTAAATACCAGTTAGATTAAAATAGTCAGTTACTTAAAGGTTATCATAATATGCAAACTTCAATTTTTTCATGCAGCTAATTAAAAACAGATAATAAAATAATAAATGTAGGCCTTTATTTTTTTTTTAAAGTGTTATCAAAGATTTTAATTTCTTTTTAAAGAGCCAAGTGCTGACCAACTACATTCCTGACTTGTTTTCCATCATGCCTTCATGGAAAAGGTAACTTTAAATATATACGTGTAACATACTTTATCCCCCAAACTATTTACTTGTTAAATAAAAGCCCACACATTTGTTTTCAAACAAGTGTCATTGGCTCATGTACGGCTTGATGTAATACTATAATTATCAAGTGTTCAACATATTTCCAGCTTCCTATCATTTGCTCAAGTGGCCACAGAACAGACAGCTGTTCGACAACAGCAATTATCAAATTCAGTAGAGGATATTTTTGCACAGGCGAACAAGAGTGTAGGCCTGTCTACTGTCAAGCCATTTTTACTGGAGTTAATTAAAAAGATGGAGCAGGGCTAGGGCATAAGGACTTTATGCATCAACTTGTTTTTGTGTTAAAGAGTTTAAGTTTCACAACTTTTAAAAATACTGGATTACTGCTAACCTTACTGTTACATTTTTTTCTGTAAATTTCTATATTGTTGCACCTGAACAACAAATCCACATCCCATTTTGTATTCTTGTTTTAGTGTCTCTAAATGTGATGATAACCTTTGCTTAAAACTAATTATTCTATAATTTTCTTACTTAAATATTTGGAGTATGAACAAAGTTAAGTGATTGTTTTATACTGCTGATTTTTTAGTTTTGTCTCCATTGTGAGAATATTGTTTTCTAAAAAAAAAATTACAAAAAGTATGCCTATTGACAGGAACTGCAAAAGTTATTTTGTATTGTGAGGTGATTGTCCAAGAATTTTCACTGGTGTTAGCAATGATATTCATTAGCTAGTACACTGTATAAATCACTTGTGGTGTGATAAAATCTGATGAGTTGTATTCTATTTAAAAATAAATTAATGTAAAAAAAATTATTTTCTTCAATCATTTTTAATTTAAATTTCTTTTAATAAAAGAATTTAACAAAATCTTTTTGCATGGTTATATGACAGCTCCATAGATAAATTGTTATACATGTAAACTTGTTTTTATCTTCCATGACCACATACAGCATATTTACAAAACATTTATTAGCCAGTTAACACCTAGGTCATCTTTATATGTCAAAATCTGTTTAGTAGATTTTCAGACACACCATTTTAATATACAATTAAAGTGAATTTTCTGCATTAATGTTTTAATGCTAGCACACTATGACTCACACCTATAGTTATTCATCTTCACTCCAATAAAATGGCCATAAAAGCTTTAAAAAATTTAAACCATGCTTATTAAAAGACTAGATAAATCATAAAATAAAATTTCTGTTCTAGGGTTAAGAATAATTGCTTGCTTTATAAGCTTAAGAAAACGGTCATGTGACCACCAGTACGTAAATTGTTTAATTTTGGATTTTTTTAAATCCTCAGGTATACTCAGAAATCTGAAATGCTTTTTAACATTTACTGCATTAAAATTTCTTTATTTAAAAAAAAAAAAACCCATTTAATATTAGTTGGATAAAAAAACTTACACTTTATAATAAAGGAAGTCACATTTAAATTTTTCACATGCACTTGATCAAATGTATCTATGCAACCTAATTTGTAAGGCACTTACCCTAAATAATTTCAATAAGAAGCTCATCTGGAATCCTATTTGCAGGATGAGCTTTGAGGCAAAATGTTTACAAACAATGTGAACTGCTTATCAAGCAATACAAACATGAAATATGGCATGGTTAAGCAAGGAATGGCAACATAACATAATGAAAACAACAATTTTTTGTACCATTCTTTTCATGAGAAAGCAAGTTTGCCTTCAAACAATAACACACACAAAAAGTAAAAATACTAGTTAACACTGCAACTTAAGAAGCAAATAACCATCACTCATCTTCAACATACTCAGTTATTACAATAAATTGTAATCACTGAAAATTTTATAATGAAAAGGTTACAGAAATAAATGATTTAATGAATTTTAATTAGAAATTATTACTTAATCAGCGTGTTGTAATAACTAAGTTGGTTTTTAATAACTTAAAAGTCAGACATTTCTCATCCAGTAGTCTCTCATTTACAAGAATGAAAATAACATTACAAAAAATTAGTAATTACAGCTCTTTTTTTTTTTACAACAAATAATCTTGGAATTGAAAAAAAACAAAAAGAAATCTGATTAACATAGTAACATTTTGTTAAACAAAAACAGAAGTAAATGAATGGCTAAAGCTGCCAAAATTGTTAAGCAAAAAAAAAAAAAAAACCTTAAGGAAAGAATTGTTACAGCAACACTTTTACCACAAAAAAGGCAGTTCTGAAGACCTTTCACATTGGCTTTTAATCTTGAATTTGTCTTATAAAAACAAATTTCATTAAAGCGACCTTATAAGGTAATTGTACATTCAGCAGTTGCACACACTAATCCAACCAATTGCTTCAGTTGGTTTTTCTCTACTATTTTACAAGCCCTATGCTAGTAAGTTATAGTGAGTTCTATATAAATTTCATCAATGTGTCACCTTAGACAGAAAATATTCAACTGGTCATCATGCTAGTTTTTATTAGTAGAGTGTATGAGTAGGCTGAGTCCACACAATGTGACAATGACATTACGTCACCTGTAAACCCTAATTTTTGTCAAAGTTTTAAAAAACCCAGTCTAAGGAACCTAAAGGAATTAAAGTTCGTGTACTACCAGATGATATAATTCTTAAAGAAATCATCAAAAAATGATAACTCTCAGGAATAGAAACTCAAACAGTGAATTTAAATAATCCTTTCTAAGAAACAGTATGATTGTAAAATGTAATGAAGATTTGAGTTGGGAAGACTAGAAAGTACAAACATTAAATAGTTCAATTGTGGGGAACAGTATTTATTATTTGTTAACTTACTCTTACATGTGACTCAGAAATTGTAAACAATAAGTAAGCCCACTGCCCCAGATTTATATTTAACATCCTCAATTTGTTTTGTGCTTAGGAGATTGACTTTGGTAAGCTGGTCTTGCAATCAGTTTAACAGTAAATAATAATTTATGGACTTATAGCTGCATCCAAGGTGGAAAAAAAATATAACAAAACCCAGACTTCTGCGAGAAGCTTTTCAAATTATAAGAATCATCAACACGTTAAAATGTTTTCATAACAGAATGTAAAACAACTCCGCCATTCATTTAGTCTAAAGAGATAACAAAGAGAGATTACTTATAAATAAATAATACATTACGACTTGTCCCTAAAAATGTCTTCTATTTTTGAAAAAAGGATTTTATGACAAAACAAATGTGAATGGAATTCATATGTATGAACCTCAAACAGCATGTACTTCTTGAAGTAGCATTATGACTTCAAAGTCACATAAAGTGACTGGTAACCAGTTCCTCGATTGTACCAGCACCCCAGTTCATCAGTTGATCCTAGCATGAAAAGAAGTGAAGAAAAAGCTTAGCATTATGTATTTACTGCAAGTAATAATCACATTCAATAATTGATAATGTAACTTACCTGGGGCATGTAAAGGCACACACTGCGTAGTTTGTAGACCATCACTTTGTTTTTATTTGTCTAAAAGTAAATTTTAAGACAGGTATTAAAAGATTACAAAAGAATAAGCAGTAGCTAAAGTTAGTATTTTATCAGTTCAAAACAACTTGCAACATTTTAGATATATAGTATATGTTGTAAATGATCCCTCATTACCTGCATATGCTGCTTGTCCACAAAAAGAAAAACAGTCTGATCTGTATTTGTGACAATTAGTCCAGTTTTGTCCCGTACAGTTAATAATCGCATTAGCTGACGCTCATAGTCATCACTGCGAAAAATGTATTCAGCCTGAAAAATGTAAGTCAAACCTTTCAAAAACTATCGACAACAGGATCATTTTTAATTTATTTCTGTCAGAAATTTTTTTTAACAAAATACTATCCTATGGAATTTTTGTTATTTTTACAACTTACATTAAGTGGCTTATAAGGGGTATCATCACCCTTCCACCGGGAAAATAAATGGCATTGAATCTTTTCAATATCATTGCGAGGCCACAAAAAAAAGTCAACTTGTCCAGTACAACCAATTACATCCTGAAAAGAGTTTTAAAAAAGATTAAATGATTTATCAAGGAGAAAATTAGTGTTTCTTTTACATTTCATAGAATAAGATATACTAAGTACTGCGAGCATTTAAAGATTTAAATTTTTTTTCTTAAGTTACCAAGTTAAAAAATTGAACAGATATGTTATAAAAGTATAACAATAAAACCTACTCGTCTCAAGGGTTGCCATCTATGAGCATGAAATTGGACAACATCTTTCTCGATCAGCTCACGTGAGCTTTCATATGAATATGAATCATTCTGTGGAAAAATATTGTTAAATTACTTTAACTTAAATAAATATTTATAATTATGGAACTAGTTCAATTCATTTCTGTTCTACACATCTACGTAAACAAAAAAAAAATTGAAGTAGGATAATCCAAATTAATTCAACTTGGAGGCCTAAATTAAATAAAACCCTAGAACTATATAAATTCTCTTTTTAATAACCCCTTTAAAACAACCATTTAACCCTTTGAACCAGCGGTACAGCTTTATCAGTTAGTCTTAAATCTCCATACCCCAAGATACAGATAAAGCAGTATTAGATACCTGATCCCAGATCGCCAGTCTGTACATAAAATTGTGATATTAAAAAAGTAAGTAACTGGTATTGTTCGACTCGTGGCAAATTCCTGGCTTGGCTGAGCCAATGAACCAAATTTATGTTTATCATTTACAATTTAAGATGGAAAGACGATTTTAAAATTCTAAACCGGCATTCTACCTACGTCTACATCTACCTATGTCTAAAAGAAGGGTCTACCTACTCAAACAACTGGATTACTAGATCTAAGTATTGGCGATAAATCATGTACATATGTTAATTGAAATGATAAAATTAACATTGTTGTTATGTTCATAGTTTTTATTTTTTTATTTAGAGTCTGTAGTGTGTACATATAACTTAGGCGCTCAGGGGCATGGATATTTTAGGTTCAGGAGCTAAGGGTTCAAAGGGTTATTAGTATTAGGCTGGTGCAGCTTAAGAAACAAAAACTGATTTTACTAATGCACACCTTTACGCCTTGCAGTATGCTGTGTTCATAATTGTTTGTCATCACAGGCAAAACTTCAGCCACCTCAAAGAGTGCATTTTTCTTTTTCTGAAATAGAGAAGTATATTTTAATATTTTTTTTAATTAGAAAGATGAGAATCAGAAGTTATATATAGGCCCCTATATTATGGTGGCTCTTGGAAATTAAGTCATTAGCCTATGGCCAAATGAGAATAAAGCAGTACCTCATCCTTAAAATGAAACGATATGTACATCTTGAAGTCAAATTGATCTGCTAAAGCTTCCCTCTTTTTACGGAGGTTATTCCGCAATCTGCTTACAGCTGCACTTTTCCTTGTTATTGGATCCCCCATTTCACTAATTTAACCGTAACCACACTAAAGTATATCTATTAAAGTCTTTGCTGATGTAAATGGGTTATGGGCTGAATGTATTGCCAGCTGTTTTCTTTTCCTGATGCATGTTTTGTTTATACTTCATTTTTGTGTGACTGGCAACAGTTGGAGAGTACTCTCCAGTACATACAGATTACAAGCAGAGTATAAAACAAATATCACTTGAAATTTTGAGCAATGGATTATGCCTATCCTTCATATATATATACTATAACATTTTAATATTGATATTTTTTGTAATAAGTCCTAAGAGGAGGTTATGACTGAGTCGAGGAAAGGTGCAGTTTTCTTCCGGAATGACAGAGGACACTGGGTTTCGGGCGTATTCAAGCAGAAAACAGACCCAAATGTTGACATCATAGGTACTTCATCGTAATGCATCGCGAGTGTTACATGGGGTAGAAGCATTGAAAGATTGTGGTGAGACATTTTGGATGAACTTTGAAGGCTCATGTGTGAAGTCCACCTTTACTAACAGGGCGGAAGGTGCTTGTTTATATACTTCCCCTTCTAACTCGGATCAAGATGGCGTAATGCAATGGCGTAATCAAGAGGAGACTATGCTGACCAACAAAAGAAAAAAATATTAGGAACTCTTCAATTATTTTTTTATGCAAAAGCGGCAACCCAGTTAAACAATTTTAGTAAATATTTTACCAATAAAATTTAAGATGGCATCACTATTTTCTCGTAAATCTTTAAAATAGCTTACAATTAAAATGTATGCAAAGATATTTTTAAAAAAAGAGTATGGACATATTCCAAAGGCGCTGCGAATTGTTGAAAGAGTTGAGGTGCACTTTGTGAAGCCGTTTTACTACAGTTAGCTATTAAATATAGATTCTAGATCTAATAGTTGAAGCTGAGAATACCTAGTGTAATAGGTGTAAATAAATCATAAAATTACTTCTAGAAATGTCTTGCCGATGTGTAGGTGATATACGTTTTTAAACATATGATTTAGTCCATTCGTTTTGTGGCGAAGAGGTTCACGAAGGGAGCACCCTTTCGCCCAGTGTTTCTTCCAGACTTTTTTCTCGGGGGGGGGGGGGGCACTTCAAATTTTCGGGGGAGGGGCGGTAGACTTTCTTCTGGGGGGGGGGGGGACAGACACTGTTAAAAGTATATATTTTCTATATAAATTATAAAAATGTCATTTCGTTCGGGGGGGGGGGGGGCGGTAGAATTTTTTCGGGGGGGGGGGGGGAATCTCCCTGGAAGAAACTCTGCTTTCGCCTACTGTTACTCTTCTCTGAAAACTTTTCAGGACTGAGGCGTCTTTTCCAAAAATTTGGGCATATACACTGTTAAAAAAATAATTAAAATAAGTTACGATGGTTGTAAAAAAAATTAACAGTTATAATATTAATGAAGGTCATTATAATCAGCGTCAGTACATTAATGATGACGCCTTTTTGAGGTCAGAGTCTGTACCTCCATGTTAGTTAACAATGGAATCCATTTTGGGGGAAATTGCTCTAGCAGGGTATGAATGAAATCACATTTTATACAACTGTGTGATAGAAGGATCGTAGAAATGGAGCTATAACAAATGGCTTTCTTTGTTTCGTTGGACTTTATTATAACACAGAGAATAAGGGAAAAGGAAGGGTGAATAGTAACATCTCTATACTCAATTTGTATACATTTGAAAAAACACATAAAAATGGTAGCTACAATGAATTTATTTGCAATTAGAAATAAAGCAGGAAGTGTTAGTATCCTCACACATTAAAGACAATGGCGCTATTTAGAGGTACCTGTAATTGTCTTTTATAATTTGTAAGGATACTAATAATACCTTTTTACTTTCTTGTATGCGGCGTATAGAGGAAGTATTGTAATCGTGCAAAAAATCGAAAACGATATTTTCACAAATCTCGACGTTTTAGACCTCCCTGATTCGGAAAAGAATTGCAATTTTGTCTGTATGTATGTATCTGTTTGTGTATCTGTGAACACGATAACTTGAGTAAAGTTACAGCTTGGTTGACGAAATTTCACGTTTCAGTATTATTTCAATTTTGTAATTCTGTTTTAACATTTTAGCGATTTCCGATAACCGGAAGTGAAACTTATTTTACTTTCGTTTTTTTTTCAAAAGTCTATAACGTAAATACTGTCTCAGTTAAATAGAAGAAATGTCAGATACACGTAGAAGATATAATTGCCTGTTTTCGGTGACCAGAAGTAGTACTTTACCCTATTTCTGATTTATCAAAAAAACGCAAATGAATTTATTTTTAACTTGATTCCTCTGTCTTTCTTTTTAAAGTAATAATGTTCTGCATTATTATACCCAGGTTATTTGCTGTTCATTTTGTGCGCAATTCTTTTTTCTACGAGATTCGTTGTTTTTTAATTAAGCATTTGAAAAATGATTTCTTTTTAATTATATCCCGACTGCACTGAAGTTGCCATCCCTATTAGTGTTATCTAACATTTTCGATAAAGTTTAGGGCAGATTACTCCCACTTTTTTTTTACTATTTGCATGTGTCTCTCCTCTACACCGAAAACCTGGCTACGCCCCTGATTGTGGTCTGTTATACTAAGCCTACTGGATGATCAGGAGAGCAGCCACGTTAATGTGTAGAAGAGAAAGCGTCACCATTTCACTCCATTGTATATACTAAGTTTGGCTTGCTATACATTTTAATCTACATACATTAATCATGTGTCATCTCTATGGAAAATGCTTACAGTAGGAGCAATCCCCGCACCTATGCATTCTCGCCTGTTAATACTGTTATGTCCATACGAGTGATGACGTCCAATTTGACGACATAGATAATAAAACTGCTTTTGTTTATTTTTAAAAAATTACATGTATATAAGCTGTACGGGCAAGTAGCGAAACCAGAATTATCACAGACAGTATAGGTTGAATAACACAATACATAACCGTGTGATAACAAATCAATTGTAAAAGTGGGAGGGATCAGACTGACTGAGTGTATTAAGTAGGCCTACACATTGCAAATAGGTTTCCAAGAGCACAGATTAATATTCTAAAAATCGGAACGCATTTAGTATTAGAACTACGCAGTGCTGTAATATTGTAGATCACAATTCTTTATGGTTTACGTTTTAGTTGTCAAATGCACGTAGACTTTACACACATAAAAGTTCGTCGATAGAACAACAAAAGACCGATTGAGATTAATTATGCAACAGGTGTTTACTGTGTTCATAAATGTATTGATCGTACGTATTGTAATGTCACCTATTTCCAGATATAATTGTTTTAAAATATAGCCTATGTTTAGAATACTATTGTTTATTTTTTATGCATCTGCTTGGCTGTGTCGTGTAACTGAAATTAAATTAAATTAAACATACACACTCCAGACACGCATGTACAAAAACAGGCTATGGTATCCTTTTACAATGGCTCTCTTTAATGGGGTCGGACTGACGGGGTTGTTTTGACGGGGCTTTTTTGTCACGGGCGCGGTTTAAAGAAAGCTTCGTTAGCCTACCTTCAGTGTTTCTTCCAGACATTTTTCTACGGGGGGGGGGGGGGGGGGGCACTGTTAAAATTATATATTTTCTATATACATTCAATTTCGTTCGGGGGGGGGGGGGGCGGTGCCCTCCCCTCCAAATAGATGCCTGGAAGAAACTCTGCCTACCTTTATGTAAATACTATCTGATTAAGAAGCGATGGCAGATGTTGTTGACACTTGCATCATTTTGCTGTCCTTTCTTGGGAGGTAAATCATAACTCAACGTTCATTTTGTTTGTTTAACAAAAAAAAATGCTAAATGAAGAGTTCACCCAGACTCGATTTAGTATAAAATAAACGACGGAATGACTGTGAGGAAACAGAAATCGAATATCTAAATACAAGTAGTGTTTCTTCCAGAATTGTTTTCTCCGTGGGGGGGTGGGGGGGGGGGGGCCTTAAAATGTCGGGGGTGGGGGACTAAAATTTCCGGGGGGGGGGGGGGGGGAGGACGGACACTGTTTAAAGTATATATTTTCTATATAAATTTCATTTCGTTGGGGGGGGGGGGCGTAGATGCCTGGAGGAAACACTGAATACAACTTAATACAACTGGATACGTATTTAATGAAATCGGAAATACAGTCTCTTTTCTTTAATTCTATCATTTCAAAAACTGCAGCTAAATAAAAAAAAATTAAATTAAAATAATATAGAAAAATATTTCATTACAATTACTTTGTAGGCCTCGTGGAAATAACAATTTTTTTTTTAAAACTACCCCTTAGAAAAGGGTCCTGTGTCGATGTGTTTATTTCCTCCATCCCCCCCCCCCTACTTCCACCAAATTCCTAAAGGCTGGTGCCGCCTATGGATTTGGCCTGTAACTCATCACACCCCTATAATGCTCTAGCTAGTGTGTGTATTGTACAGTCACGAAGGTGAGTTGTCCATTGTGACTCGCACAAGGTGGGTCAATAAACCCTGTTGAACTAGCCACACAAACACCAAACAGGCCAGTTAAACTGCATTAGTTGGAAGCCAATATTGGTATTGCCAGTGCGGATTGCAAACAGTGAATTGTAGCGGTATGTCAATTAGGCACTGCCATCCTCACAGCAGCGCCAATACTAAAGGCCGCTTAAAATGATGATGATAGTAGTAATTGTGAAAACATTTCGGCGATTTATTTATTTTTTGGAAAATTAGTTTACATAGATTTCCTTTTACAACATAGATTTTCGTTTATTTCAACTAAATAAAATGAGGACAACTCCATTAGACTTCTTCACTTCTTCCAACAAAATCCAAAAAACAAATCGTAACATTCAAATCAATTAAACCGGCATTATTAATGATTCCAGTAAAGAAAAGTTACCATTTGAGACCTGGTAGTCTGGTCTATTGGAAGATGAACTCGAGTGCAACTATTTCTGTGAACTCGGTATATGAAAAGATAATATGGTCAGCACTATGACGTCCAGCTGCCTTAATTTCACTGAAGTAAGTCGCGTACTCATTAGAGCTGGGTGGACTCTACAGACTCAGGAGAGGGACACGAACTCGAGACCTGCCGGTTAGCAGTCGCACGTTTTATCATCCGACCACGCCGTCCCATAAACTCCAGTAAACGTTGAAGTTTACGTTTTATAAACATAGCTTAGAGACATAAAAACACATATCATCTTTTCCCACTAAAAAACGCGCATTTAAGGTGAACAACCTTTTATAAAAATTTTATATTTCATGTTTCGTATTACTTCAAATATTTTTTTTTTCTTTTTCGTTCTTAATTGTATTGTTGGGCGAGATTTCCTAAAACACAATTGAGTATTACGTGTCATCATGTAATGCGCCTTACGGCCCGTTGACTCCAATTTCAGGATTTGCTTTCATAGCCTACAAGGCAGTAGCTGCGGTGGCGTAGCGAGGTCGGGTGTCACCCGGTGCGGCACTTAATAATGTCACCCCCCCCCCCCAAGCGGCGGAGCGACCTTTCCCGGGGACAAACTTTCAATTTTCGATTTGCACCCCCCCCCCCCCGCTCAAACTTTCGATTTGCACCGCCCCCCCCCCCCCCCCCCCACCACCATTG